ATGCTGCCTTGTGGTGTATAAGTGAAAAGTAGTGTGTGTGTGTGTGTGTGTGTGTGTGTGTGTACATCAGCTTAAAAAATAATAATTCAAAGAATGCTATGAATGGGTTGCTGCTGTTGGTTTTTTTTTAAAGAAATGCCCTTAAAGGTGGAAGAAAATGTTAGTAGACATCTGGAGAATCAATTCATGCAACAGCATCAAATCACTGTCTGATAAAGCAGAAGAGGCATGAACAGCAGGAATATTGAACATAAAATAATGTGTAATTCTTTTTTCACAAAATGGCAGTATTCAGCTGATACGTTTCTCTGCACACCAGTAATTCATTGTTTGTAATCCCATGGTTAACATGATATTGCTTGGGCTTTTGAAATAGGACTTTGAAACTGCAGGCCAACATATAGTCCCACTGAACTGAATGGTATTTACTTCTGAGTAGACTTTTATAGGATTGTGTTGTAAGGTGTGTTGCTTGTGTAAAAGGAGTACTTATTTTTTATTTCTCAGAAGAAAAAAATAAGTGGCTCCAAGGTTACTAAATGCTTTAGAGGGGGAAAAAACTTTAAGAACTGTATCCAATGTCCCAGATCCATCCGAAATGAAGAAATCTGCTCGACAAAATGGTCTAGCTTTGGGATGAATCAGACTGCCATGATAAATGTACTTACAGGCCCTTTTGACAAGAGTCTCCATCTCTCTCTTGCTCACTCCTAGCCTTCCAGATCACATTATCAAGCTTAAGAAGATAACTTTGTGTTTCCGCACACCTTTGTTGGTGGAAATGGCAAACATAGCAAGCAGAGATGAGTCCATGAAAGAACCAACCTTCTGGCTTTTAAATGTACCCTTCCCATTATAAACATCTTGTAATTTTTGTTCGGTCCCAAAGATGTACATTGATAGACATTTAAACAACAGTAGCCAATGTGGTGTTCTCTAGATGTTGCTGAACTACAGCTGCCATCATTCCTGGACACTGGCCATTATAGCTAGGCCTGATGGGAATTTGAGTCCAACAACATTTTCCCCTGCACTGGAATATGTGGGTGGATACTCTTTGCCATGAGTATCTATTTTGTATTGTTTTGTTCTGTTTTAAATGCACTGGCTGTTTCTTTGTGTTTTTAGCTGCTTTTTGTGCTGTTTTTTTTACTGCCCATCTCTTTGAGGCAATTGTGTAGCTGTTGATTACTCAAGAACAACAATGGAAGAAAAATTAAAGATACAGGAGTATTGCTTCCTTTTGAAGTTGTGCAGCCAGCATAAATTATTATAATGAGAGAGGGGGGAGCTTTGTATCCCTTAGTGCAGGGATAAGGCCCAAGGATCACATTTGATGCTAGTGGTGGGGTGCCTTTCTGTCCTCCAAGCAAGAAGCATTCTCAGAGTTCAAGGTCACATTCCAACCAAACAAAAACACTCAAGGAGTGTACAAAGTGAGGAGGTGAAGGGTGTGGCTTGAGAGGGAATGTGACCTGGGGAGAGGCCTGGGGGCCACATACTGCCCCTTGAGCTGATGTCCCCCCTCCCCCACTTTGGTGCATGTTTACTATTGTTTAGGATGATTTTGAATCATTTCAATAGTGTGCCTATTTTGCTACAGGTGGGCGTGACAGCAACGGGCAGTTGCTTCAAAAGATGTACAGTTGTGGCCCCAAATCAATACTTGCAGAACTTTGTCATATGAAGGGGACCATGTTTGTTTTCCCCATCTGTACAAAAGTCCTCTCCCAACGGGGTGGGGGTGGGGAATGTCCTTTGCAAAATGGAACTGCACCTAGATATGGTGCCTTGTCCCTTTAAAGCAGCTGTAGGGAACCGTTGGCCTTCCAGATGTCGCTGATCTACAACTCCCATAATCTCTGGATATTGGCCATGCTTGCTAGAGCTGATGGGAATTATGGTTCAGCAACATCTGAAAAAGCAAAGGTTACCCACACCTGCTTCAGCAGCAGACTTTGGGGTCTCAATTTTCAGTGGCACCCTGTGCAACACCAAAATGCGGGAAACCCCCTCCGCCTTGCCTTCTAATCTGTGTCATAGTTGTGGCGCTCCCAGCAGTGCCCCCAAGGCTCTGCACTCAGTGCAATCAAGTTGGTCTTGCTCCCCTAAATCCACCTCTGCCTGCTTTAAAGAATGCCAAATAACCTCCATAATTGCAACCCAGCCTTCTGAAATGTCATATGTGAAAGGCTCGCTTGCCATTGAAAAGAAGGCCAATTCCTGCTCTCATGCCCTTACAGATTCCTTGAGACCACTACCTCCGGTGAATAATATGTGATAAAAATATTACCTATAAACTTTTTTTTGGTCTTGTTTTTCTACCAGTTTGCATTACATGATTTTATTTTTTGAAAAACAATATTCCTAAAATGCAGTAGACTTGGGCTGCCGTCCACATATCTAATTAATGTCACGGCACAGCTCCAGTTGATTTGAATGGCTGCAGACAGGCCCTTTAATCAACACTTTATTGTGTTGCTAAAGAGAGTATATAGTGGCTCAAAAGTCCCGCCCAACCCTGCTGAAGCTTGTGAGCTTCTTTCCAATGCGTTCATTGGTTTTGGATAGAATTACAGTGAGAAAACATTGTTAACAAGTAGGCAGGACTGTTTTTAGCTGCCAGCTCCTGGCTGCGGCTTCCAAAATGCACCTCCTCAGTTATAATTATATATCTGTTTTAACCAATACATTTGCCATCCAATGTAAGCTGCAGCAGCAGTAAGGTTCCAAAATACTGTCTGGCATGGCGTCTTGGCATCCCTAAGCTCTCCCCTGTTAGCTGTCATTAAAAACCCTTCTTCCCAAAAGGAAGAACTGAAACAACATTTAGACACTCAATCTGGAACACCTTAGTTTGCATTTCTCATAGGTGTTTCCTACCTTTCTTGGCCGCCAAAGTTTGATGTATCATAGGGCCATTGCCAGAGGCAGTCAGGACAGAGGTTTAATAAGCCTCTAACGAGAGTATGAGGGAGATTCTCAGAAGTTGTATTAATAAGTAGCAACTTCAAAAAAGAACCCCTCAAACTCAGAAGCGTGGAGAAAAGAAATATGCCTTCCATTTTGGCTCATTATTGGGCCCATGAATGCCCGTTCGTGGGATAAATACAAAATTATGCAGAGGACCACAGTCCTCCTCCTTTTTGTACAATCACAAGGTCCTATGCCCTGTATCCACACCAATAATCCCTTTGTAGCTGCTGAAAAGGAAGAAAAAGGGTTAGGACAACTAAGATCAGGGTGGAATGCAGACCAAAAAGGATCATAAAGACCTCGCCCTTTCTTTGTGGCTGCCATTGAGACATGGTGTGCACGCGCAGAGTCAGCATGTCAGGTGCAATGAGCTGCTACAATCATGCAGCTCATTAATTCAAATGCTGAACGTGGTTACACTGGAAAAGGGCTGGAAATCTAAAACTGAATCTCAACAAGACCAAGGTTTCGTGGGTGGGTGGCCCCCAGGTCCGGCAATTAAGTAGGGGGCCACTTTTGAGTGGGTTCACATTTGTCTGGACTGAGATAACCAAACTGGACCTGCACAAGGCATTGCTGAGGATGTCACAATTATGCAGATCAATTAACACCAGTGAAGAAAAGACATTGAAAGGAGGCTTTGAAAGACTATTTTCAGCAGCAAAGATTGAAACCTATCAGTTATCTCAATTTTGTTGTAGGCAATGAGAATTGATACTAGGGAAGAAAGGAGAATAGTAAATGATAGTAAACCAATAAGAATTTCTTGGGCTCTGTGTTATTCCTCCTATTTCACTGCCACTAAGAGATATGATTCTGGAATACTTTTAGAGGACAAAATGATATTTTGGCAGGCTCAGGGAAATCTCTGAAATATTGGGAGAGAAATTGCATTCCAAAATTGTGGCATATTTATGCTTTGAATAAATGTTTGAGAATCATTTAATGTCTATTTGGCCTCCTGCGTTTGTGTCTCCTGAATGTAATAAATACATTTACCCCTCCTTTTATTTTCTGGCCTTTTGAGACCCCAGAAAGATATTTCCTTGCTTCCTGCTCTTTCAAATAATTTGCCATTGAGAAATGAGGGGACAAGGACTGCTTATTTGCTTTTTTCAAATCTCCTTTATCTTATTGAAATGCCTTCATGCATCCTAGCTACCCTTTAAGTATACCTGAAGCAGTGCTGCAATTACTACCCCTTTGCAAGCAGTTTGAGTTGTCAAAACATCCTTGCACAGTGGAATCCTATCCTCAAAATAGATAAAATTATCTGCACAGTAAAGAACTTGTCTTTTGTTACAAATGCAAATGCTGCCTTAACCTGCAGGTAATTCATCTAGAGTTGATGTTCCCACTTCATATTAACTTGCTGGTGCTTCTTTAGTGTTTTGAAACGGACTTCTCCACAAAAAAATTGAAGCCGATACCATGGGGTTGTTTGGGGTCTCAGCAATGCCCATCCTCCTGATTGTCCACACATGAGTTTAGAGCAGACTTCCGCAACCTCCATATGATGTTGGACTACAACTCACATCATTCCTGACCATCAGCCATGCTGGTTGGGGCTGGTGAAAGTTGTAGATCTTGTATTCATTTACAAAGCTCTGAACGGCATAGCTACAAGGTACCTCAGGGACTACCTGTCTTAGCTTGGTCAGTGAGATAATCTGCAGGAGAGTCAATGGTTGTTCCCCAAGTTGGTAAGGCTCATTAGACCACAACAAGAAACTGAATCTTTAGCGGCATCAAGCCAATATTCTGGAATACTCTGCCAATAGCGATTCAACTTTTAAATGCTTACTGAAAACTCCTCTAACGCATCAGGCTTATGCAGGCAATTAAGTACACATATTTCCATAACAGTTAGCTGATTTATAATTTTAACTTTTTATATGGTTTTAGGCACATTGACCACTGGTAACTCTCCTTGACATCAACCACACAATTGTACATTTATGATATTTAATAATGTGTTTTGAGGACTTTCTTCACAAAAACTTGGCTCATGAAAAAGACTCATGCCATCATTCAAGGAAACGCTATAGGGAGGCTAGAGAAGAAATAACGGCAGAGCCCTTGAGCTTTCATCACATTAAGACAGCCATAAACCTTTTCATTTGAGAAAATAGTAGTTGCCATTTCCATTCCGCGAATTGGAGTGCCAGGCAATGGTTTCATAAATATTTTGACTCATTTGGCTCTTTCTTTTGTTCTTTCTTTTTGGCATAGAAATAAGTATTCATATTTCTCTCTGAAATTAAAAGAAAAGAAAAGAAACTATAATGTGGAATGTTTTGCACCACTACGACATAAAAGCCAGTGTTCTGCAGAATTCATGATGTTGAAAGAAATTGATGATCCAGAAACTAAAAATAATGCTGAGCCAAACCTACTTTCCTTAATTTTGCATTCTCTTTCTGACATCTCTCATTTTATGTGATTATCAGCGCTTACTGGGGCACTTTTCAATTCTACTCCTCTCTGGGCAAATCTTCATCCTCCTCTTACTCACACTGCCATTTTGGTGGCAGGAACTCACATTATTTTGTCTATGATGTCACAACAATGCTTGTCTGATGCAATAATGTCATGGATTTATGTAAACAAAATTACAGTGGCCAATACTGTGCCCTCCAGCTGTTGTGTGATGGCACCATGTTGGCTATCCTTGCCCTATGTGATTTTGTTTGCACAAGTCCATAGCATCATTACCTCAGACAGTTCCCATAAGCCCTGATGGTTAGTGAATCAGAGTTGGCATTTAGCAACATCTGGAGTGCACCAAATTGATGGTAACTTCTGAAGGCATCTATAGATTGAACATTTTTCATGTCTTCCTCAGAACTATATAGAATAGAGAAACTCTGGTTCCCATGTGCAGTGGAGGCTCTGAATATTCCCAGGAGCCTTCATTGTATGGGGGAGCCATGAGATTATAGGGCGAGCCCCCTACTGTCACTGGTCTTTAGTGCTTCTGGTTTCTCTCCCCTCGCATTTGGACTCAGTAAGTTTGAGAAAGTGTGGAAAAGATGGTATCTCTGGCAGCAGAGGATTGGTGTGGCAAAAAGGCTTGCCTTAGGCTGAGCATAGAAAACCTGAGGTAAGGGAAGAACTCATGTTTTCTCTGAGAATTCTCCAGGAAACCCTGGGAAGGCTATGCCGATTACAAATCAAGATGGAGGAATTTCACTCATTGCTAATGCTAATGAATAAATTGAAACTGAAGCTTATTTGTGGTGGATAGGGCTCTCAGTATCCATAAGCCTCAGTTGCTATGTGCTCCGTCCGCTGTCAAATATGACTCTGAATACCAGTTGCTGCGGATTGCAAGTGGGGAGAGTTTTGTTGCACTCAGTTTCTGCTTGAGGGCATCTAGTTGGCCACCGTAAAATCAGGACATGGTCCGGATGGGTCACTGGCCTGATCCAGCAAAGTTCTTCATTTTTTAAAATGTTTTTCAGTGTATTGCAGTAATTTGTCCTTTGCAGTAATGGATTAGAATTTTGTGCACAACTATTTCTCTGACTTAATGAGAAATGTTGAACAGCCATCCCCTTGAAGTCTGCAGTACAGGTGTGCTTTCTGTAGCATCAGCAGCTCCCAAACACAACTCTGATGATGTACTAGCAACATGATCCACAATGCACTGACCTAAATGGGACTAAGTGGGTTTAAAGAAAAGCATTTGGGCTGATGTTTGGGAGTTTAAGGTTGCAGTCCATCATGCACCACTGTTAGAAATCTCAACAGGAATATTGCCTTTAATGCGCATCCCTCAACTTAAGAGGGTTATGGGTCATGTCTTTGGGCTATTAGTGTGTGTGAGAGAGAGGTCACATTTCTGCCCCTGCTTCACTTTCTTGGAGCCTTTTTCACAGCTGTCTCTTTTCATGGCTGTAATGCAGAAGATTCTTACCAAGGATGAGATATTTAAAAGGATGAGATATTTTAAATACTGCCAGAGGAAATGGAAGGCATAATGTTGTAGTTCCTTTGCTGCAATCATTACATTTCTGAATGTCTGCTACTGAATAACAAAAGCTGTAATTCCCATGTAACCTCCAGGAAAGCTGTAAATCAAGGATGGGAACCTGTGGCCCTCTAGATGTTGGACTTCAACACCCATAATCATCAGCTTGAATGACCAGTGGTCAGGGATTTATTTTATTCTCAATTGTTTTAGTTGATGTTTTAATGTATTGTAAACTGTTTTGAAATTTGTTCTTTAAAATATAAAGTGGTATAGAAATGATGATGAGTCAATCAGCATTAGGAAGGCCACAGAGTCCCTATCAGTGCTGAGAGGTGGAATGTGAAATGCTAAGGGTGAAGTCATGTAGAATCTGCTTTTTCTATAGATTTGCAAGATCTGGCTGATTATTGTGGAGATCTTGAATGTAGCCACATCCACTCTGATCCTGTCCTCTAATCACACTGCCTGCTTCCTTCCAACAGCCTGAGTGCTTATTGTCAATCTTTTTGGATTCCTGGAAATTCCTCATAAGTTTGTCCTAAAGAAGAACCCCAAATTCAAACCAAAATTAGCTTTAGGACACACTGTATATTATGGCAACTCTATTCCCAAGTACAGTGGTACCTCGGGTTAAGTACTTAATTCGTTCCGGAGGTCCGTTCTTAATGTGAAACTGTTCTTAACCTGAAGCACCACTTTAGCTAATGAGGCCTCCTGCTGCCGCCGCGCCCCCAGAGCACAATTTCTGTTCTCATCCTGAAGCAAAGTTCTTAACCCGAAGTACTATTTCTGGGTTAGCGGAGTCTGTAACCTAAAGTGTATGTAACCTGAAGCGTATGTAACCCGAGGTACCACTGTATTATAAACTTTGCTTAGTTTTTCTGTCTCCTTTCTTTGCATAGCTCAACTGCTCTTAGACCCATGGCTCCAAAGGAAAGATTTCCAGTCTAATTACCATTCAGGGAGGAGGGGATGCATATAATCCAGATGGGGAGGCCTCATGGGCCACATCTGGCTCACGTGCCAGTGCTTTCCTCTCTTTGATCGATGTCTTTAACAGGCAGAAACCAACAGCTGCAAAGCTTTCCCCACAGCGACATCTCCATGCTGGGGCAAAAAGCATCACTTGTCAATTTCTCTATGATCTGCATCTGTTAGATGCTCCATCCTTCAGAAAGGTTGCAACACACCAATGTTTTCGAAAAGGGGTCCTGTGGTTTAGTTTATTAGGCTGAGAGCTGGGTGACTGTTGTGTTTTCTTTTACACCGTCAGAAACGCCGTGGAACGTGATCAGAGGGTAAGCTGTAAAACTCCACCATTAATCCACCCTCTCCAGGTGGTGTTCCCATATTTAATGGCTTAATGACCTATTTGTTTCTTCAAAGGAGACAAGCACCTCTATTTCATATTTCCCCATGTTCATTAACTTTGACAAACTAATCCTTCTGCAAAGGTTGTAAGATGGGCCAGATCATTGTAAAGATGAAGATTTCAGTCAGGTACATAGATAATGCGATAAAATGAGTCAGGAATGCATTGGCTGTTTCTATGGGGTCGTAAATTGTGTTTACTTGGTTTCATTATTGAAAGAGGTGTTTGCTTGTACCTCTTCTGCACTGAAGTATGCTACCCAACAGCTTGTGTGCTCTTTCTAATGATACACGAAGCAAAATTGTTCAAATGGGATAGGCCAGGTTCAGCTTCTGTGTTCCACAGGTGGGTGATTAGTATGAGCTAATTATCTTAACAAGTTGTCAACTGATAAACAAGAGGATGGCAGATGCCCATAGAGGTTGGCTTGACATACCACTAGCTCACTGCTAGACTTCTCATTCACCATTTACAGGGGTTTTTTACTACATGTTCCAGATACAGCATATTCCTCCTAGGTACACATTGAAACCTGCATTTGCGTTATATTTTACAACATGAAATACTTATTCTTCCCATAAACTTCCATAGGAGACTCATAGAATATGAACAGACTTTAAGTGTATGTGTACTTCTAGTAGTAGAAACTGATTATGGTTTTATTGTCCCATAATGGTACCTTTCCCCCATCCGTCAAACAACCAAAGTTCAAATTCTGTTTTGGAAAGCATTCTGTGCTGATATGGCCATGAGTAATTTATATGTACATCTGTCAAAGTGCATCTGGACCCTTTTCCAACTCATCAGGCTAATGCAGTTAAGGAAGCACACCCGTTCTCTTATGTACTACATTTTTTAGTTGAACGCCCAACCATCCTCGCTTCCTGTCACACTCTTTAGTCTTCAGCCTGAATGTCAATGGCAGGGTGAGGCAAGTACCTATTTGGACATCTATCTGCACAACAACTGGCCTAAAGACCAAAATCGTGTGCCAGGAAATGCATTTTGCCTGGGCCACAGATCCCCTCAACAGCAGGGTTGGAGATACCTGAGCAGCCATCAGCAGAAGTAGATTAACAGTCACTACTGTAGTAAACAGAAAGATTAAAGCTACATTTTCTGGCCTTGACGTTAGAATGTTCTCCTAATAGTAGAAGAAACAAGGAAGATACCTGGTAGCAACTGTCATAGGGAATAGTGGAAGGGCTGGGGCTCAGTGCATTGCAGAATGTCCCAGGGTCAGTCCCTCATGTCTTGAAGTCAGGACAGGAAATATCCATCTGGAACTCTGGAGTTCTGCTGCCACAATGAACTAGAGGGACCAAGGGGTTGACTTCCGGGGTGGCGCCATCGGCAATGGCGGACTCCCTCTGAACTGGAGGGACTAGCTCTGCGTGAAACGGGTCTTTTCCGCTACAGCGAAGCGGGGACCCTGCTAAAAATCACAGGTGGATGAAGCCTGTGACCATGGGACTCGGCGGGCACCCTTAGCGCCCCCCACAACCTGCAAAGGAACCCACTAACGGGCTCCGAAGTGAAGAGGGGGAAGTGGCGCGGTGCTGTGAGTCAACTGCTATTTCTGTGGAGCGAAGCCACATAGCCGTTGCCGGAGAGCGCTGCCTTTTTCCTGGGACAATTTGGCTTCTAAAATAAGCACCCGTGAGTACTTAAAATTTGAACAATCGGACTTTAAATAAGGACTTGCATGCAGAAAGGAATTGGACTTAAAAATTTACTTCAATTTGGTACTGAAACGGGAAGGTCTAAACAGGAAGTCAGCCTTCCGTTTATTTGTAGACAGAATAAAGCAAAGACAACATAAACTAGAGCTCAGAAAATCGCCTCTAAAGGATTGGATTTTATCATTTAAAATTGTGGAACCCCCCTTCGACAGCAGGAGAAGAAGGGGGATCTTTTTCGGACTGTTTAAACCTGCAGAAGTGAGTTTAAAGTAAAGTAACTTTCCACTGTCCTGATCCTGGAGCGGGGTGTCAGGACTGACGTTTGAAGCTCATTGACCAGAGACAAACGTTTTTGACAGATAGTTAAAGGAAGAGAAACATAGTGATTCCACTGTTTCCTTTCGCATTTTAAGGAACAAATATTGACAAAATATCTCAAAAAGGATACTTTATTGCAAGAACAAATAGAAGTTCTCCCCCTAGAGGGAGACTGTGAAACTGTAACTAATTCCAGGGAGCTTGCAGCTGTCACAGATTACAATCATGGGAATGGACTTGTGACCTTGTAGGACAATGTATTCAGAGGCTCTGTTGTGTGCTCTCTGGAAAACAAGTGCCCTACTGGAACAGTTAAATGAGAAGATGGATTTGATGACTAATGCGGCCAGAATTTTTGAACAGGCAGTGGGAAACTATGTGGAGCCCACCCAGGAATTAGAACAGGAGTGCGTCCTGACAGAGCAGATGAGAGAAGAGGATGTTGCTGAATCTTGGGCGCCAGAGATGGAGGGAGCTGCGGCCTTGCAGGAGCATGAGCTTTTGGACTTGACAAATGAACTTGGAAAAAGCCAGATTTGGAAAGATAAAGTTTGGATTGGTTTGGAAATGGGGGGTTGGATAGACCCCCCTACGCAGGGATGTTTGGACTTTCCGAGTCTGGCAATGGGCCGTGAGATGTTTGGAGCTGTGGGGGCTCTCAATTTTGGAGGGATTCTGAAACATGTTTTTAAATACCACATGGAGTTGAGTCTGGACTATGGAAAAGGGGCTGATTTGCTGAAAAGTGTCAAAAACATCACCAAGCTGGAGTTCCCACGAGTGAAAGGAGAATATGAAGAAGAGCTGCGGAAGGGACATGGAAGAGATTTAAGGGCCTCGGATATAAGGTTACCAGGTTAATGCGCTAGATCGATGGGATAAAAAGGACTGACAAAACCCGGGACCAGGAGGAAGGGACGCTGGAGGAAGACTCGATTATTTTTATCTCTTTTTTTATTACCAGGATTGTTTTATAAAATTGATGAATGTTAGAAAAATGCTGGAATGAAATTACTTGGCTCTAGTAAAAATGTTTAAAGAATTAGGTAAGAATATTATGGTTGTGAGAAGTCGGTAAAAATAAGATTTAAGTTTTAAGTTTTTAAGGTTTTCTATAAGATAAGATGAAAATAGATTAAGGTAATGTAATGACAGAATATTATGAAATATGGAAAGGATTTGCTGCAATAATTATTAACTAGGATACAAAAAAAGGGAGGAGGAGGAGGTCAAAGAAAGAAGGTAATGAAAGTTGAGGATTTGAGAATGATGGAGTTATTATTGTCTGTTTGCAGACAATATTTTTGTTTTTTGAATTTGTATTGTTTGATGTGGTTTGTTTTTTCTTTGTTTCTTTTTTTTCCCTTTTCTGCTTTGTTTTTTCTCTGTAATTTAAAAAATTTTCAACAAATATCATTAAAAAAATAATAATAGAGGGACCAATGGTCTCACTGAGTATAAGGCACATTCCTATGTTCCTTAACCCTGAAGATCTAATTCCTGGTTCAAACTTGAGAGGACAAACCATCATTTACTGGTCCATGGCACTTTTGCACCTCTGTACCCATGAATCCATTCTATTTGCATAATAATGTGTGGATTAACTCCTACCTTGTTATTGTAGGACATTATTTTTATTATACCCTGCCCATCAGGCTGGGTTGCCCCAGCCACTCTGCATAAAACTGAAGCCCACAAACCTGTTCCATGTTATCAAGTGTCCTGACTCTGAGTATTGTGCAATATGAACCTGTATTCTTATAAAGGTGGTGTTTCTTATTTAGTTGTCACAACTCTTGCACTTTCCATGATACGTTTATGACACACTGACCTTTTCTCTGGTCTTTTTTCTATACTTGAGAAAGGTGGGCGGTCCAGTCAAGCAAGCTAGTGCATATGTTATTTGAAAGGTTACTGTGTTGCAGTAGATGGTTTGACCTCGTTGAGTACGGAAAGTGAGGAAGATTTCTCCTGGAGCAGAAAATGCCACATTTTTCTGTCTTGAATAAACTACTAATTTCTAGCTTGAACTGGTGATGGAGGATCTTGAGGTTCATTTCCAGAAGGCAATCCAGTTGACCTTGTTTGCCACACTTAGAACAGGTACATACACTGACATATGAGAGAGAAAGAGAGAGAGAATATTGCTGTGCAGAGAATTTACAAGTGTTTCCCTCACCCCAACCACTCACAGGCACAATTTGAAGTGAAGGAGAATTTGTTTGGTGAAATAGCTTGGGAGAACAGTGGTAAAAACTGTCTACTAGGTACTGTACGTTTTCTACATATCCGTGTGCTATCTGTGCCCTAAAAGCATTTGCCAGTGGGATTCTGTCCCTGCCTGCCCCACCCCCCGAGGTGTCTAATATTTACTCAGGATGGGAGATAGGATTTATGTATTATGAATCACACAGTTATTTAGCCTCTAAGGAACTCAGGGCTGTTTGCATGGTTCTGTTTCCCCCATTAATCCTCACAATGGAAATGTGATTGGTTCAAGGTCACCTAAGTGTGGTGAGAGCCAGTATGGTGTAGTGGTTAAGAGTGGTAGACTCGTAATCTGGTGAACCAGGTTCGTGTCTCCGCTCCTCCACATGCAGCTGCTGGGTGACCGTGGGCTAGTCACACTTCTTTGAAGTCTCTCAGCCCCACTCACCTTACAGAGTGTTCGTTGTGGGGGAGGAAGGGAAAGGAGAATGTTAGCCGCTTTGAGACTCCTTCGGGTAGAGATAAAGCAGGATATCAAATCCAAACTTCTTCTTCTTCTTCTTCTTCTTCTTCTTCTTCTTCTTCTTCTTCTTAACAAGCTTTGTGGCTCAGTGAGGATTTGAACTCAGGCCTCCTTGGTTTAACTTACACACTACACTGCTGTTGGTTCTGGTACCACTTCAGATGGTAGCGAGGGTAGAGTATTTTCTAATTTCTCTAATGTAAAAAACCCTCTCTGCATGTAATAAAGTAACACATTTGATTGTTACTAGTTTGTTTCTGGGCCCAACTGAAGTTGCTCAAGGTAGTATTTTAAGCCCTTAAACAACGTAGGCCCCAAATGTCTGAAAGACCGACTCCTTCCATGTAGACCTTTCCAGGTGTTAAGATCATCACTGGGCAGCTCTTGGTCGTTCCTCCATCTTTAGAAGCTTGGGGTGCTGTTGGCTGTTGAATTCCTTCCCCGCAGAGGTGTGTGTGGCCCCATAATCATCGAACTTTCATCACATGCTGAAGAGGTACCCTGGCCTATCATACATACTTTTAGGAACCACTGTAGTTCTGATTGTAATTGGTTTGCAACTAGTTTAACAACTGGGAACTCTGGGAATTGTAGCTCTGTGGGAGGAACTAGCAGTCTTTGAACAACTCTCAGAACCTTTGAAAGAAATTACAGTTCCCAGTATGCTTTGAGGGAACCCATGGCTATTTAAAGTGGAATGATACTGTTCTAAGTGCAGATGTGACCTAAATATTGAACCAGGTTTATGCTGTGTGTTTCTTTTTAATGTTGTTGTAATCACTATACACACTGTGTATTAGCACGCCTATTCCTCTACTTGAACCATCCAGTACTCTAAATATCCCTTATTGCACAGTTAATTGTGTTTTAAAGTTTCAAATTATTATTTAGAAAAGAAACGCGGGGAAAATCCACTCGTCCTCTTCCTTCAGGAATTCTCCTGAACCCATTACAGTTAATTCTTGGGGCAGTTTTATGTTTTCGTCTTCTCGTTTTTATGTTAGCACATATATAGTCTAACATAAAAATCTGCAGGGATAAACATAAAGTAGCAAAAGAATAAATACAATGGGCAAACATACCCAAATTTAAAAATGAACTTTTTTTTCAAACTACTAAAACTGCCAAAGTGGTGAAATAATAGAAGCTTATCAGTGCTGGAGGAAAAGAAAGAAAATAAATAAGGAAATCAATGCCCATAGTTTATATCAATTCTCTAAAATAACTAGGCTCCAGTTTGCAAATAGCTGCTCTTGCAGAATCCCCATTCATTTCAATATGGACTGAGCTTCCTAACCATTTATAATGATATAATGTTCCCTTGGTGGTATTGAGATGCTGATGGCAGATAGTATCCAGGAACTAATCAGGGGCTGAAGTGAGCATGAAAGTAAGTACCTTTCTATCTACCTATCTTATTTATAAAACAAAACAAAACACGTTTTTATCCTGCACTTTCCATCTTAATGGGACCCTCAGGGCAACTAACTGTCAGGTGTATCATAAAATGAAAAAAATGCAATCAGTTTAAAATATCAGTAGCACAATATTAAAGCAGGAGGGAAAGCTAAAGAATTTTCCCTAAAGAGGAGAATGCAATGATAAATGGGGATCTAGACAGAAACATTTTGACATGGTGTCTCAATTTTGGACTTATCCACACTTATCTTTCCTCTGCGCTTTGGGAGGCAGCAAATATTTTATTGTGGAGGCCGAAGGGACCTCAGCCCCTAGGAGCTGGCTCCTATGTTTGGCCACATGTCAGAGCATTTATATAATGATTAGCAACACACACACACAATCTTCTCACAACAGCCTTGCCAAATCAGCCATTGCTTTCTTCCAGAGAAAGCAGGCATTACAGATCATTCGTATTTTGCAGAACTGGAGCAACTTTTCCTATGACAAATGCCCCAAGTTCAGTGTCTATTGCAGGTCCATTCCTTGATCTAGACCAGGATTCCAGAATGCTCTGGGCTAAGGAGAATGAAGTCCACTCCAGGACTTACAGAGAATCCTGGAAGGAATAATCTTTGAAGTTGTACAGAAAGGAAAAACTTGAGAATCAGTCTTCTTTAGTTTAGCTTTCTCTCCCCCCCCCCCATCTTTTGTGTGTTCATGCAATCCCCCTGCCTTTGCACAAACAGACTTGTATGAATTGTGCCATTCCTTGGTGTGCCATGTTTCTGTCAGCCTGAGATAAGAGTAGCTGGCTATTATCTCCCCTTAAGAAGCCCCCGGGTAACTTTAATGGCCTGCCTGTACCATCTTCAGTGCTCAACCAGTAAAATATATTAGCTCACAAAGAGCATCCTCCTTTCTTCATAGAACTCAAGAGTATGATGAATCTTCTACTGATCTATGGCAGTGGTGGTGGAGGGAGGAGGAAAGCGCAGGAGAAAGTCTGACTGGCATTCTGGGACAAAAAGAAAGAAGAGAGAAAGCGGATATTTTAGAAAGAGAACAGGGAACCTTATGGTTCGAACCAGCTCTTATTTAATACTATGCAAATCACTGTATCTGTCAACTGAATATTACATTCGCTTGTAATGAAGGAATTGACATCTTGATAGAAGACAAGAAAGCACAAGGCATGTTTACAGTAATTTTAGCAGTTCACTAAATTAAACCAATTAAAACTTAATGTGTTGATCTGCATAGCCAAAAGCAACTGCTTCTTTTATGTCATTTGGCGTCTTAAGGGCTTCTTATATTCAAGATTCAACAGCAGTTCAGCCAGGGGCCGTGCTGTCTGAGAGTGGTCTTTTCTTATGCAGGGATGCTTTAGGGGTCGGATGCTCTGCCTTGGTGCAGCGGGTTAAATCCTAAAACCTCAGTGGTGATAGAAATCTTCCAGAGGCCTGAGCCAAAACAACTTGCATTGCCTTGTCTCTGTTCAGAGGACCTTCTCCTTGTTCTCCTGTCTCTGGAGGAGAGGATGGTGGCTAGTGGCAACAGGACTAGCTTGATGATAGCATCCCATACTCTGGGTGCCTTTCTTCTTGGTCCTCTTCCCAAGATTGATGAGCAACATCTCACTGCAGAACGTCCCATGCAGTAGATCCCAGATTTGATCCTTAGACTCTCCAGCTCAAACCATCAAGTCGTGGGAACTCATCCTTTATGCCTGTGACCCTAGAGAGCTGCTGCTGGACAGAGCAGACAATATTGAGCTAAATGGACATTCATTCTGAACTGGTACAAGTTGGCTTTCTATGCTCACAACCACACCATCCATTTAAAGCACTCTTTTCTTCCTCCTCCTCCTCCTCCTCCTCCTCCTTCTCCTCCTCCTCCTCTTCTTCTTCAGTGATCACTCGTAGCCAAGTAAGATTGTCTTCCATAAACCCAGTTTTAACAGTAGTCCGTAAGTGACTGTGGAGGCCACTTCTGGATCCACATGTCCTTCCACAGTGGGGACATAGGTTTCCGGGCAGGAGTTGATCATGGTGAGGGTTTGCCAAACCTGCCTTCCTCTTAGCAAGTTTCTCCCTTTCGTCCTAAGTTCGAGTGTCTTCAAAGTCCATGACACCTTTGGGAAAGGCTGTTCTCCAGGTGAAGCTCTCAGGCCAGTGTTTCCCAGTTGTTGGTATTTATACTATTTTTTTTTAAGATTTGACTTGAGACAGTCTTTAAACCTCTTTTGTTGACCACCAGCATGACGCTTTCTATTTTTAAGTTCAGAATAGAGTAGTTGCTTTGGAAGCCAATAATTGGGCATCCGCACAACATGACCAGTCCATCGAAGTTGATGTTGAAGAATCATCACTTCAACACTGGTGATCTTTGCTTCTTCCAGTACACTGGCATTAGTTTGCCTGTCTTCCCAAGTGATGTGTAAAATTTTTTGGAGACATCGTTGATGGAATCTTTCGAGGAGTTGGAGATGGCATCTATAAGTGGGTCCATGTTTCACAAGCATACAGTAAGGTTGGTAGTACAATAGCTTTGTAAACAAGCATTTTGGTTTCCCTGCGAATGTCCCAGTCCTCAAACACTCTGCACTTCAATCAGGAGAAAGCCGCACTCACAGAGCTCAGGCAATGCTGAATTTCGGCATCAGTGTCGGCCCATGTGGAAAGATAACTGCTCAGGTAGGAAAAATGATTGACATTTTCCACAACCACACCATCCATTTAAAGCACTCTTATATCACTTTAACAGTCATTACTTCCCCCAAAGAGTCCTGAGAATTGTAGTTTGCTAAAGGTGCCAGTATCACAGAGCTACAGTTCCCAGCCTCCTTAACACACTACAGTCCCCTGGATTCTCCATGACTGTTAAAGGGGCGTAGGAGTGCTTTAAACGAATGGGGTGGATGTGACCTGCGTCCACAACATCCTTCAGGAAACTCACTCAAGACCTATTTCAGAGTCAAGTCCTGACACCTCCCCTCCCTAATCCTAACAGCTTATTTTCAGATCCCAAACACATTACAGTTAGCACCTCCATTTATTTTATCTGCCATGTCATTAGTTAATGGTGGTGCGCTTGTTTGTCACAAAGTACAGCGGATTCAATTTCCTCCCTCCGCCCTCTGTCGAGACACAGCCAGGCAGCTTATATCTCTTTTGCAGCTGGTGCTTCAGGTTTCTGAGCAGAACTTTATCTCCCTGTTGCAAGCGAGATCTGTGTTGACAAGAAAGACCACTGCCATTTGTTAGAGTCTCTGCTGTCAGCGCTGACTGAGTATTGCTTTCCTATTCTCCCCTTAAGCAGAAGGATGTGTGTGAGTGAGCATTTGTGTGTTTTAAGTAAACAGCAAAAGAGGCTTTTATAGATATATTTTGGGTAGATGATAGAATTTGTCATTCCCCCAACTCCTTAGTTTTGAAGCAGTCAATCAGCACATTTATCTGTAGACTTTGATATCATTTGCCTTCTGGTTGTTGTTACAGCAGGTATATTCATCAGATGAATATACTTCCTTCGGAATATATGGATTGTGGTTTTTAAAGCTGATCAATGATAGCTTACAAAACCTTCCCCCTCCCAACTCCCATATTTTAATGTTATTTATTATTATGCTTGTATCCTGTCCTTTAATCATCCAAACAACTTTGTGATGTAGGTTAGGCTAAGAGATCGTGACTTTCCCAAGGTCACTCAGTGAGCTACATGGGTGAGTGAGGATTTGAACCCAAGCCTGCTATGTCCTAATCCAGCACTACACCACATGGACTCTGCTTGCTGCCATTCTCTTATTTATGGGCTCATTTATCCATTGTTTCTGTTATATTTCATGATTAAATATTGTGACTAAACTTATTCCTTGTTTAGTATGAACAACTGACACACTAAGAGTGAGTGTCAGGGATCAGCATTGTGGGGCATTTGCCAATCCCCACACCCACATCCAAACGTAGGTAGAGCTGTGGTCTAAACCATTGAGCCTCTTGGGTTTGCTGATCAGAAGGTCGGTAGTTTGAATCCCCGTGACAGGGTGAGCTCCTGTTGCTCTGTCCCAGCTCCTGCCAACCTAGCAGTTCAAAAGCATGCCAGTGCAAGTAGATAAATAGGTACTGCTGTGGCGGAAAGGTAAACAGCATTTCTGTGCTCTCTGGTTTCTGTCATGGTGTTCCGTTGTGCCAGAAGCAGTTTAGTCCTGCTGACCACATGACCCGGAATGCTGTCTGCGGACAAAGGCCGGCTCCCTTGGCCTGAAAGCGAGATGAGCGCCACAACCCCATAGTCACCTTTGACTGGACTTAACAGTCCAGGGGTTCTTTACCTTTTTTACACCCAAATAGGGGCCCATAGCCAATCCTTGGAGCCCTCTGGCCCTGCTCATCTGCCTCCTAACTGACAGGAGTGGAACTTGGTCATATACCACCCAGTATGAGGTCATTTAAACCCTCTGGTCAGCCCTTGCAGCGCCAAAGACGGGCATTGGGAAAGTGGCTTCAGGGCTCTGACAGGGTCCTAGAGCTCTCCTACCTCCTTCCCAATGCCTGATTAGCACTTGCCCAGCTTGGGGAAGGAGGAAGGAAGACTTTTTAAAAACAACAACACATTTGTCACTATTTATCACAAACTCTCCTATCATTGCACTGACATTGTCTCACCCACCTGTATATATGCCAGCACAACATTGCCATTTTGATGGGCAAACTAAGTTCAGTTTGGAAATAGTTTGAATAAACTTGATTATTTAATCCAAATGATGTCAGGCAGAGAAATCCAAACCCCCAACCAGCAGATCTGAGGGGGGTTGTTGTTCATAGAATCGTAAGAGTTGGAAGGGACCACAAGGATCATCTAGTCCAACCCCCTGCAATGCAGGAATCTTTTGCCCAACAAGGGACGTTTGTATGGGTGTAGGTGTCCCTCTGATCAGAACTGCTCAGTGACACCAACAAAGATTCCTGCCTCAATGGTGAGCACAAGTTACTGCTGAAAGTACTATCCCTGCCAACAAATCGTTCTATGATTTTACCAGTGTAAAAGTCTTTCAGTGTATCTGCCCCTGTTCTGTGGAACAGGATCCCTGTTGAGATATGACATGTGCTCTCTGTTTGTACTTTCCAGAAATATTTCTGATTCAACAAGCTTTCCCAGCTGGGTTAAAAGGTCTCTCTGCCTTAGGTGCTTATTGTTTTCAAACGTATCTCTAGTTGTCCTTTTTTTGACTGTTTCAGAAGCTTATTTTTAGTTGTTACTATGTAAATCACATTTACACTCATGTGGATGGCAACTTACAAATTAGCATCATGGCGAGATGCTAAGGCTTAAAGTCTTCTGGACAGCTCAGTTAAGCTCAGTATCCCAAATGCTGAAGCTGTTCACAAGGCAAGTGGCATGATTTGTAAAGGCAAAAGTTATTAACGACATCTATTATGTTTAAAAGTTGATTAAATTGAGCTGATCTCTCCTACTAAGTGAGGCTTGATGCTTTCTGAACTGAGCCGGCAAATGATTTACACTGCAGTCATACGAACGTCTACTCAGATCACTGGATGGAAGAACCTGTCCATTTTGGTTCTCCCATTTTTTTGTTTCTGCAGTCTTAAACTCAGTTCTTCACATTTTTGCAGCAATTTGCCATTAAAAAAATCCTCTTGAAAACTCAACAGCATTCTAGTGTGAATCTATCCTAATAATCACATATTGCAGTTTTGACAAACATACACATTTTTGCAAGCAATTTCCCCTAATATGATGAATTTGCAGGTTATTTTCACTAACATGTGCATTTATATGTACACCTTGCCCTAATATGTGGATTTTTGTGGAACACTGCACTGCAAATTTGGAGAAACGTTAACTTTTAAGGATGCTAGTGCTGTGGTTCGATTATTGTTTCAGAAAGTATGAATTAGCTGTGCTCATCTTTAAATACAAACTGAATTGAATTCCATCTCCATCCCAAAGATGTGAGCGTCACTGAGTTCAGGGGTACGTGTGTATGGCATTACAGCCTTAATCCTATGTGTATGGCTTTCTTTTCATTCAGGCCTATTTAGGGGGAAAGAATCACTATATGATTCTACACTGCAAGAACACTAGTATTAACCATAAACTCATCTCTTTAAAAAACAAAAACAAAATCATCTGTATGAATATAGCCCAATTTCAGTCAAAGTCAAGGAGGATCTCAGCATCCGAAAGCAGAGGATATAATACATATATCAACTGACCAAGAATAAGGTTTGATATCAGTAGAAAAATAAGTTGCAAATCTTGTTTCCTGGAACGTAAGTGAGGGCACACATTTCAAGGTGTAACTAATCTAAATCCCTTTTACAATAATAGAAAAATAACAGCTACAGCAGTTGTACTCTGGGTGTTGCTAATGGCTATGAAAATTGCCTATTCTTTGAAGATATTTGTCTCGACTGAGAGTGAGATGTGAGCAGGGAAGAGCTATAGATGATTAAAAGAGGAAAATGCTGAAGAGAAGCATGTTAAAAAGAAAAAGGGGGAAAACACATTATATTATAATGGGAGGATTTGATTCATTAGCGCATGAATCTCTTGTGCTCTCTTGGTATTCAGACCAATCATACCTCACAGCTGGCATTTAACCCAAGTCATAGCTCTAGTTGGTGAACAAAATGTGAAAATAACTTTTCTGAGCTCTTCCCTAACATTTCAGTTCGTGTGGATCATTTATTATTGGCTCCCTTGGTACTCTTGGCTTGGTGGAGAAACAGGCAGTGGAAAGAGTAGATCATTACATTTTATTGTGTAGATTGCGGAGAGCTTCGCCAGCCACCATGAAACAACACATAACAATTATGCAAGCTGAATGGGCCATAAATTAGGAACAAAAGCAGTCTCCTCGTGCATGTGCAGCCTTCTAACTTCAGAAATCAGTTTCAGGTAGAATGTTCTAATCAACGCTGAACACAAGGTGAGAACTTGATTCACCCAAGTGTCCTCCTGTTGAAGTCAGTTGGATGGACTTGGGAGTAAGTGGAATATGCCTCTTTCAGTGGCTGGGATATGTTACGCTGCTTTTGCATATCAGTGTTTTTAGCTTTTATTTTGTTTTAGCTTTGCATTGGTCTTTAAGTTGCTTTAAGTTTACTTTTCATAAAACGAGAGAGAGAGAGACTAATACATCCAATAAATAACAGCAGCAACATGGACTGAAGCCCAAATAAAGAAGCTGAAAGGACTCCAAGTGTTGCCTAATAAGGAAGGAAGGAAGGAAGGAAGGAAGGAAGGAAGGAAAGAAAGAAATGTATTGGGACTGCATCTAACTTAGGAGTCTGATAAAAAAAGATGCTAGTTTCAGCAGTGTGTGTGTGTCTTGCAGAGAACGTACACAAGTTGATGAATGTAGACATTCACATGTAAGTGCTGCCAATCCCCAATAACTTTGAGGAATGTCTTAATAGATATGTATTCCTCACGTTCCAGGCATATGCTGTGGAATGCCAGCAACAATACTTAGGTAGGTGTCATCATTCAGGAATGCATCTCTATGAGTTTTTGAACATTCACAAAAGTCGTCTGGTATTTTCAGCGCTGTCCAAATTTCTGACATCTACTGCACCATATGTGTGCATAACTATACTTGTTTAGGGAATGTGCATCCTGCTTTTAAACTTAAACCTTATAAAAGCAATTACACAAGCAAAATAAAAATAAAATGCAACAATAAAATAAATCTAGAACTACAGAAGCAGGTTGTTAAAAACAACAGAAAATGCTAAAACAAAAATGTGAGCAGCCATAAATTTCAAATAAATACACCTCTTAAATAATATATAAAGCAACAACAAGCAAAACTGCATATAACTAATGATTAAACAACATGTTTCAGAGTCCAATACTTCAACAAATTATTCATGAAAATGCCTTGAAAAATAAAAAAAAACAGCCTTAATCCTAGTGCCCAAAACTCAGCAATGAAAGTGCCTGGTGACCTTCTCTTGGGTGTGCTTTCCATAAATGAGGATGTGGGACTATTCAGAGAATGAGCTCTGATGCCGGATCCAGTTCATTCATACAAGAAGTGAGCCACGTGACTTCGATTACACATGAACAAAGGATAAATTGGAGGAGTTGCCTTTCAGAAATTGCCAGTGGGTCCAGGTGAAGGTTTTGGCTATGAACACTAGGAAACAGCTTCACTGAGGGCTCTCTGTGCCGGCTGTCTCTTGCCACCCCTTAGCTCCCCAGAACACCAGCTTACAATGTGCCAGGTCAGAGGGATAGGCACCCATTTAGTACTTTGAGGCCTGACTGATCTTCCTGGCAAATCATAGAGCATGGGTAGGCAAACTAAGGCCTGGGGGCCAGATCTGGCACAACTGCCTTCTAAATCCGGCCCGCAGACGGTCCAGGAATCAGTGTGTTTTTACATGAGTAGAATGTGTCCTTTTATTTAAAATGCATCTCAGGGTTATTTGTGGGGCATAGGAATTTGTTCATTTTTTCCCTTTCCAAAATATAGTCCGCCTCCTCCCCACAAGGTCTGAGGGATAGTGGACCAGCCCCCTGCTGGGGGAAAAATTGCTGACCCCTGTCATAGAGCTTTGACAAAAATCAAGATCTCTTTGAGCACCATCAGGCCAAACTTGGAGAAGATGAACCAGAACTGTTCAAATCCAACTGTTCCACTTGGAAATTGGAAGTTGCTGGTTTGGCAAAGATCCAGTGCCCTAGCCATTTATCAGGACAGCCTACAATCATATCCAAAGTCCATTTCAGGGGTCTAATCCAGTCCACCGGTCAGTTTAATCCGGCCCCTGTGGCAGTTCATTTCCGGGGGTAAAATCCTTTAAAAAAACCCTCAACAACTTCAACCCTAAAAAACCTGAAAAACTTCAACCCTAAAAAAAGCTCTTTGGTGGGCCCTCACGGCCCTTCACTTCATCAAATCTGGCCCTCTTTGAAAAAAGTTTGGACACCACTGCTGTAGAGTGTGCCTCTGCATTCAGCACTTGATGGCTGCCCAGATTTGAGCAATATAGTCATATCATCTCTAAGACCAAATAATATAACTGATGTTGCAGTATTTCTGTGTCTCAACGTAAGATGTTGTAGACTCTGAGCCAGGAAACCTCAGGTTTGGGTACAACTGTCACCTGATGGATCTCCCAGTTCATTAATGTAAAGCAGTGAACAGGATATGACCCCACTTTGCACAGCTCCTATGGCCCAAACTGTATACGTCCACAAAAATTAAGGTGATATTTATCCATAATAAATACAAAATAGGAAGTACAAAGCACAAGGGGGCTCTTCAGTAGTTACGGTACTTCTAAAAATAGATGGTCTCTATGGCAATATTCCACTATGCCCTTGAAGGTGAAAGCAGTTTTGCTTAGCAGAAGCATTTCAACACAAATGATGGCTCTTTACTAGCTTGATACAATTGCCATTGTCAAAGCTGTATGCTCTTAAGCACACAGACTAGACAAATGGTCTTTAACACAACAACAACAACTTGCAGTAGACCGTTTAAAATGCATTTAATGTATTCATTACATTAATGGTAGCATGTTTTCAGCCCATGTATTAAGCTAGGTTTTGCTGGAGAGTTAAGTCACAACTAACTGATTTGCAATTTCAAGAATGTTCTGCTATGAAAAGTGGTTTAGCTTTAAAAAAAAGCAAATGTGGACGGACAGACAAAATGGAGAGGCTGCAAACAAGTGCTGCAAAGTTCTTTCTAAACCTAAAGCACTGCTGTCCTCATAGCAATGGATTCTGCTCCATTTTCTGACTCAAACAATTCTTGAAAAGGTACAATAATAGGACCTAAAATGTGTCTCTATGCACACCATGGCCTCCAATATATGTTTCAAAGAGCTGGCAAACTCTGTCACAAACCCCTGGAGATGCCACTCATTAGGGCTCCGCATCCGACATTTGTTGCTGAGAAGTACATCATTAAACCAGAATTCACTTCTTCCACAATGTTGCTTCCAGTGTTCTGGTAAACATCATATGGAACACCTCCCATGCTATATCACAGAGAGAGGGAATCTGTAGCCTTCCAGCTGTAATTGGATTCCATCATCATAGCTGATGGTCAGAAATGAAGGGAGCTATAGCCCAACAACATTTGGAGGACCACAGGTTCCCCATCCCTGCTATAACACTTACTGAAGAAGGAGGTAAGAGTTTCTGCCTGCATCTCCTTTTCACTTCCCCTTGTTGCTTAAGGTAAAGGGACCCCTGACCATTAGGTCCAGTCGCGGACAACTCTAGGGTTGCGGCGCGCATCTCGCTTTATTGGCCGAGGGAGCCGGCGTACAGCTTCCGGGTCATGTGGCCAGCATGACTAAGCTGCTTCTGGCGAACCAGAGCAGCGCACGGAAATGCCGTTTACCTTCCCGCTGGAGCAGTACCTATTTATCTACTTGCACTTTGACAGGCTTTCAAACTGCTAGGTTGGCAGGAGCAGGGACTGAGCAATGGGAGCTCACCCCGTCACGGGGATTCGAACCACCGACCTTCTGATCAGCAAGTCCTAGGCTCTGTGGTTTAACCCACAGTGCCACCCGCGTCCCTTGTTGCTTAGCAGATGTTTATTTAGAGTTGCAAACCCAGATTAAACTTTGTGTGACTAGCACCTATGTTTGACAGCCCTGGAACCATCCAAGTGGACTGGGGAAATCCTGGGCTGCATTGAACCATACACAGCAACCCCTGGATTGACCCAAATCAGCCCTATTCAGTTTGTGATCTGGGATTTGATCAGAACTGGTGCGCAGCTCTACTGTTAATTCCCCTGAGTGAACACTTTATGACTGAAGAATCAACTTCCAGAAATTAGAATGTTTATGAATGTTCCAGGACATCACAGTAGATTAGTCAATGGCTTCTGCAGGGCTGCAAAGCAGTTAGGCAGGTAGGCAACATGTGAGAGTTCCCTATAAACATGGAAGATTTTATGTACATGCAGTACACTAAATTGTAATGAATATAAATACAGGAAATTGTTGTAGTTGTAATATCTTTCCCAAACCCTTTGGCTCTAAGCATCAAAGTTTCAGTGTTAACAGTACATTAAAGGCTGACTTTGCTATTGTAGGAAACACCATACAGCATCAACCAAAGCTCAAAATGACATTAAAGTGCAAGCTTTGACACTTGGGTGTATGCTACAAATGGACCAGATCAATTTGCTTAATATATTTAGCCCTACTAAAAATATACTAATAACCGTGTATGAGGGCCACAAAATGAGTCATGAAAAGCAAATGGAAACTTGCTTAAGAACTCTATCCACAGTGCATATTGTTCCCAAGGTGCCTTTTTGGAGTTGCTTGCCAGCTAAAAATATGTATTTGCTGCATTAGGGATGTTTGAAGAAGTCAGTCTTTGAAATGCCAATGCAAATGGACCTGATCTGCACCTCTTGGACTAATGTGTGGACCAGAACTTAATTATCCACCAACTTTTGCACTTCACAAATATCCCAGCGCAGTTCTCAACTAAAAACAATAATAATCAAAATACCTTTAATACTCTTTGAATTCCACTTTGGTGGAAACATGGGATCAAATTAGGTGTGTGCAACAGAACTGCCCAGAGAAATTTTTACTGGCCTTATTCAAATTCTTTAGGCTTCCCACAAAATTCCCCAAGTGATTCACCTGATGGAGAACTCCTAAATTAAGGTTACCAGATTTTTTTCAATGAATCCGGGGACACTTTAAATACATACATACATACATACTTACAACACGTTCGAGATGTTGATGGTGGTGGCAGAGGGGCGGCCGCTGCCTTGACCTCAACTGCCACGTTTCCCCTTCCTCCGATGCTTCTATCTCCTTTCTCCATGAGCCTGGGCAGCCCCTGAGTTGTTGGTTCTTCAGTGGTGGTGGTGAGGAAGTGGTGTGCGGTGGGTCAGGCATGGTGTGATGCCTCCCTTCCCACCGAAACAGCCCCAATCCCACTCCTACTTGCATGCAAGCAGGAGGGGGCAGGGATCCCTCAGCAGGGAAGGGAGGCTTCCAGTTGCCTAACTGAGAGATCCCTGCCCCCTCCTGCTTGCACGCAAGCTCTGATAGGCAGCGTGAAGCCTCCCTTCACAGCTGAGGGATCACTGCCCTGCTCCTGCTTGCATGCAAGTAGGAGTTGGGAGGCTGCTCCGATAGGCAGCATGAAGCCTCCCTTCACAGCTTAGTTGCTGGGGTCAGGGAAGGTGGAGGCAGCCTCTGGAAGCTGCATCTTAGAGCCCCTGCACCACCATCATATGGGGACTTCTGAGCAGCTCCTGAAGCCAGCCAGAGCCAACTGCTCTGGGCTGCTGAGACTGCCACTGCTGCGTTTCCTGGGGACATTAGATGAAATCCAGGGACATTCTGGGGATGGAATTTGTCCGGGGACTTATTCACATATCCGGGGACTGCCCCCGGGAAACGAGGATGTCTGGTAACCCTACCCTAAATTCACATCACATTTCAATTTTGGCAAAATGTCAGTGTCAAGCACCTTTTATAAAGACTGAAAAAGGAACAAGAGCCAGACATTCAAGAGGTGTAGGAAGACTAGACAGGTTTTATATGGAAAATTGAGAGATTGAAGAAGGCCACTCCACCCCCTACAGTCACTCTCATTGTCTAGGAAATACATTCCATCATTAAAGTGACGAATACCCCATCTGCACTATGCATTTTAAGCAGTATCATACCTGGGAATTGTAGTTTGTTAAGGGTGTGGAGAATTGTTAAGAGATCACCATTCGCCTTACAGATCTTTAGTTTCCAGAGTGGTTTAACAGTCAATGTCTCTTCCCAGGGAACTGTAGGAACTGTAGTTTTGTAAGGGGGATAGGGGTCTCCTAAGAACTCTCAGCACCCTTAACAAGCTGTCTTTGGGGGAAGCCGTGACTGTTTACAGTGGTATGATATTGCTTTAACTGTATGGTGCAGATAGTATCTTAAGGCTTAGAGATCAAGGGCACTGAATGTCTATCATCAGAACATCATCATGAGTGTGGGAAAACTTTGTTATTGCTTCAGAAAGAAAACTGATCCATTTTCCGAAGTGAGGGATAGCTTAGATTGCTGTGCCCAAGTACACATCAAATCAGCTATTTTGTTCATTAGAATAGTTTCCTCCCTGCATAATCTCCCTGCAATATGGAACAAGTTCAACCTTGTCCCCTTGCCCTTTCAATATATATTCTCAATATGTATTGCCAGTTACATCACATCTTTTGATAAATGTTCTGAACATTGGTATTGACAGAGCAGGTTGTAGATATTTACTAGAACTCACGATGGGGAGAGAGGGGGAATTTATTTACCTTCTGCATTTCTGTGACATCTCTTCCCTGCAGCACTTTGATATCCCAAGAGCTCTTCCTCTCCATTATGAGACATTTTCATATCGGCTGAACACTGCAAGTCTTTGACAGATTAGCAAAGGCAAAACAAAGTCTCTGAAGTATGTTATGTTTAGAAGGCGACGAACCTGCAGAACAAAGAGTGGCATCCACTGCCAACCCCGGCTGAATCATTACATGCCTCAGCCTTCGGTCCTCCTGAAAGTGTAAAAAGCAATGACTAGACTTTATTATGCAAAATGCATGCTACACCACTATTCACTCTGAGAATAGAAATGCAGGTTTCCTGTTCTTTGTTATGTTAGCTGACAAAACTGTTAGTATTTCTCCACTTCTCTTTTGCCAATCCCTTCAGTGCTGGGAAAGTTGTACTCCTAATTGTGAGTGTAGTTGAGGTGCTTCACAAAGTCCAGAGACTTGCAAAGATAAGCCTGTATGCCTGCAGGTGTACTTGTGAGTGCATGTGGCAGGGGAGGAGGAATTGGGACTGTGCTTACTGATCTACATACACTATCACTACACCGCAGCCTCCCCCAACGTGCTGCTCATTATATTACTTGGACTACAATTCCCATAATCCATGACCATGTTTTTGACTATAATTCCCATCATCCATTCCCATTGCCCATACTGGAATGGATCTAATGGGAGCTCTAGTCAGTCCATAATATCTGAAGGACACCAGATTGTTTATGGCTCCTGTACCCTCTAACTGTTACTCAAAATGTCTTATTAGCTTTTGGTCCATTATCACCTACTTGGTGCCATGACTGAGATGTAATATTTAACACTGTCATCACCAGTCATATTCTGATTTTATAACTATTGAAGGGCTGATATTTTAATGTTGCTGTGCCTACACTTCAGAGCTCTCTTCCAGTGGCCGTTAGTAATGCACCTTCACTATCTTGTTTTAGACACCTGTTTTTATTTCAGCAAGTCTATCCTGCATATAGTTTAGTTTTTTAATGTTTTGCTAATTTTATCAGTGTTTCGTTGATAATTAAAGTACACTTTTTTTACAGTTTGGAAGCTTTTAGCTGCATTTTACAGATAATTTTGCTGCGTCTCATGATTAAATGGCCTAAAAACCTTTCTTAATAAATACAAATAAAATAAATTGATCACATGGCCATCCTAAGTGTCCCAGTTCCCGGTATGATTCCATTTACAGTGGTACCTCAGGTTACAGATGCTTCAGGTTACAGACTCCGCTAACCCAGAAATAGTACCTCGGGTTAAGAACTTTGCTTCAGGATGAGAACAGAAATCGCGCAGCTAAAGTGGTGCTTCAGGTTAAGAACAGTTTCAGGTTAAGAACAAACCTCCGGAACGAATTAAGTTCTTAACTCAAGGTACCACTGTACAACTGTACAGTTGCCAGCTCTTGAAATAAAAGCTTCTGACAACTGGGCAGGAAAGGGGCAGAGTCCAGACTATATGAACCCAAAGCCTAGCTATTTTGGTGTGTCCAAGAATAGCACAAACATCATGGTGACACAAACCCTGTCAGTGGCAAGTCAAGCAAACACTTTGCCCCTGGTCACACCTCCAGAATTACTGAAATGCCTCCTGACTTCACAACCTGCAAGTTTTGAGGGACATTTTGATTCTCATTTTTATCGGCAGAATGCTGCAAAAACCTAGCAATAAACAAGCAATAGCAGACTGGTACAGAAATGGGATGGGATTGTCTTATGACTGGTGTTACAGAAATGGATGGGACTAGGTTATGGACACTGGCTTCATGAATGGCTTTATAGGGGGGAAAGACAGTTGGGTTGGTCTGGTTCCATTTCATGTCAACTTTAAACAGACCGATCCACCCATCCCTTTTCCCCATTGGAACTCATGTCCTGATGAGCCAGGAGTTGACAAGTCACTTTTAAATGGGACTTTTAATGGGAAGGCAGAGCTCTGAAGTTGGACTCTGCCTGCCAAGTCTTGAGATAGAATTACTGAAGACAGAGATTATCTGAAAACTCGAGAGGTGGTGGGCTTAATCACCACCAACTTCTATGGATTTAATTCTTTCTGCTGCTTGAAGGGGAAATGCTTTGTGGTTTCCTGGGAAAGAAGAGGCATGTAACAGCTCCCTAAGGCACCATGTTTCCTGGGAGGTGATTAGGTCAGCAGGCTCTCAGGTCCTCTTGAGGTCAACTTTAATATAGAGAGAACGAGTGTATGAAAAGTGTAATCGAGAGAGCTTTTCATCACAGCTTGTATCATGGAAAATTGACCATTACACCGAATAAGGCAACAGGGACATCTCCTTGCTGCAAGCTTTCCTGGAAAAGGTTATTAGGAAATATTGATTAGAAGTAATAATTACAATATGTTGGTCATAATGGCTTGACTATAGGGAAAATAACTAAACAATTCATCTTTGGATTCCCTTTAAATTATTGTCCAGAAAACAATAGGGAAGTTTTTAATGCTTGATGCTGTATTGTTTTTAATATTCAGTTGGAAGCCACCCAGAGTGGCTGGGGAAACCCAGCCAGATGGGCGGGGTATAAATAATAAATAATAAATTATTATTATTAGAGCAATCTGCTAAAATGAGATATGGAGTATACATCTCATTATGGTGGATATGTGCTTGCTACTAACAGTGCAAACCAATACTCTACTCAGGAGTAGGCCCCACTGAGTTGAATGGAACTTACAGGTAGCTGTCTAAGTAACGCCTCTCTCACACACACAAATCTGCAGGTGTGTGTAATTCTGTCCTGCTCTCTAAACACAAAAGTGCCAAATGCCCTTAGTCTGCAAAGTTAGAATATATTTCAGAAAAGAAAATGCTTCTTTGTAACAAATTAATTGAGGTCTTTCATTAAACATGAATACACCTTTTGAAAAAATAACTGCATAGGCACTAATTGCTAAAATGAAGTGCATTACAATGTTGCCTTCCTTGCTTTTTTGAAGTAAAAAAACTCTCTTTTTTCATTTTTTTGCCAAGGGATATGGTGACTGTACTCCCTTTACAAAAAAGTTAATTAGAATTAATTCAGAATCTGATTGAAATTATACCGAGGCATTTGTAATTCTTTCAGAATTTTTCGTAAAGGTTGGCCCTGAACATTAAAACCACACTTTTCTTAATGCACAAACTAAACCTTTCCAGTAAGAATAATTGTTTTACATAATCATTTTATATAATAATGTCAGTGGGAATCTCTCCTGCTGTCCTGCTTCATGAAATTGATAAATTCAACTAGTAAAAAATCAAAAGACTTGGCTGTGAATTTTCAGAAGAGCTAAGGTGGGAACTTTGTTGTGAAAGGAGGTTCACAGCTTTTCTCATATAGTGCTTTTTCTTTCTTTTCTTTTTCGCAGTGCAATGGTTCTAATCAGCCATGAAGCTCTGTACATGCAGGGGCTCCCTAGTGCTCTTCAACGTCAGAGGATGCTTTAGGTGTCAAAAAAAAGGATGGGGGGATATTACATGTGGCAATCCAGGCTTCATTTAACATATATTCCACAGATCTTAATACTCAGCAGTATAAATACCTAAAATGTCATTTACCTCAAGTAAATATTGCAGAGCAGAGGTTCCCAAACTTTGGTCTGTGGGCCACCAGTGGTCTGCGAACTTCATTTAGGTGTCCCATGTCATATTTGTGAGTGTTTTTTGTCTGAATAGGGGAGATTGCACACCCATGACATTGGATACAGTATTCATAGTGATTTTCAGTTGTATTTCTGTTGCTTCTTTTATTTCTTATATTGCATTATTATTTGAATTCCAGCCGCACCTAGACTGCTGGCATCATCATCTACATTGTGTGGCATTAGTGTACGTAGGTGGTTGTGTGCCTTATTTTACAAAGTATTGGGATGTCTGTATGAACAACTGCAAGAGGAAACTCCTCTAATTCAGAGAAGATGGCCATGGGGCCCTGCAGATGTGGTTTAACAGCCTCAGCCAGTGAGGCCAACAGTCAGAGATGATGGAAGTTATAGTCCAACAACATCCGGAAGGCCTCAGGCTTCCCACCCTGATCTGATTAAAGTAGTCCTTTTTTTGTTACTTGGGTCAAGCTTGGTTTAAAGAAGAACCATCTCAATTGAGAGTAGAGTCCTTTGAAGCAGTTAGTACCTGTCTAGCAGAATGATAAAGACAGTCTTTCCTATTTTGCGGAGATGTAGTTATATTCCAATTTTAGTGATTATTTCTAAATTTGCATCTATACATATAAAGTAGCACATACAAATGTTACCCAGATCTCTGTCCTCTTTTTTTGGTGAAGTATTTCCTCTTTTTTTTTTTTTTTTTGGCAATATGTAGGCCAACGTGCACATGGAGTCAGCATGGGGCCTTCTGGGTATTTGTAGACTCCAACTCCCAGCAGGCCTAGCCAGTGTGGCCAATGATTAGGGATGATGGGAATTGCAGTCTGACTATATTTGGAGGGTACCACACTGGTCCATATTGGTCCATTCCAACACAGGGTTCTTTAGCAGATTCCACCAAGACCTCCTGACACTCGCCTGTGAGGTTATGCAATTTCCCCTCTCTCAGTGTTGTCTTATATCCTAGTAGCCAATTCATTGGCTGCTACCGATGAATGCCTGCCTGCTTCATTTAGATATTGTGAAGGTATTGACGGTTGTTGGTCATTTGATTACCGAGAGAAAAGGAGCTGGTAGAGAGGAAGAAATATTAAGCCAATTTCAAATAAAAGGCATTGGTGGGGGGGAGGACAAAAAAGAGAAAAGTCTCGGTGCTGATTGAGCTACTGTGCTGCATGTATATTAATGACATTATCCTTGCACAGTGACACATCCCATAGTACAAGAAGCATTTTGCATCAATCGTTGTCAGCCAGGTTTTCATTACAGTATTTACGAAAGCACTGCGTATCTTGAGCTGAATACAATTCATATTTTATGTATTCCTTTTTTATGATCGTAGGCACTGGCAATTATTAACATGCAGTGTCTCAGCACAGGAAATAGAAGAGCTCAATGTTGATTTAAAAGAAAGGGCTACTGTGCCATGTTCTCTTATCTGCTTCCGAGCAGATAGAAGGAGCCCAAGCAGTTTAATCTCAGAGCAAAACCAATCCTAGTTTTCCCCTCAGGTGCTGCATGCACAAAAAGGCAATAAAACAGAATAAAATGCTCCCACCCACCGAAACACCCATCCAGATAAATTGATGTCAGTATGAAATGTTCATTACTAATGTGATGCTAAATGAACAGATTATTTCTTTTTACCAGACAGGTGAGGATACACCATGGAAATAAGAGCAATGCAAACAAAAATATGAGGAAATTATTATGAACTCCTTTACCAGTCTTCCCACTCAATGAAGGAAGTCAGGTGTGGAACCAATAGGGGTTGCGGTTGGGGAAGAGGCTGGCACATGCTGCCCCATGTTCCCTCCACACTCGCCCACTCCCATTTCTTAATGCCTGGACAAAGCCTCTCTCTCTTTCTCAAGATAAGGATTTTCTTCACAGGGGAGGTGCAGGGACTGGCAAGTTGGATGGTGAAATGGAAGGAAAGATGTAGGAGATAAGAGAGGCTGTTGACTCACCTGGGAGAGGCTAATCCTGGTGAGTCTAGCATGATGAAGGGTTGGCTGGTTTTGCGTGTTCAGACCCAGAGACCTCCCCCCTAAATAAAGACACACTTGATTCAAATTTTAGTTTTGGTTTTTGGCAGAATTTAGGCCACAACTTTATTGATTACAGAAGGTGAGTCGTTGTATAGGCTCTGGTTCGACTAGCTCCCTTCACCCTTGCAGGCAGCGCTGACCCAGGGCACCAGCGTAGGTCAGCCAAGGGTGAACACCTGGGTAGACGAAAAGCCGGGACGGGAACAGACTATGTTCACCACCCAGATGCCCCCCGGGACTCAGGCATGGGCACAACCCCCCCTCAGGGGTTGACCAAACCATTTGAGTCCCTGGATTCCTTACCCTTCACATAGGGATGGCGAGAGCGTTCTCCCATCCCTATCACCTGAACCAGTGCCTATCCGCAACCTTACAAGTTGTGACGATTTGCTACGCAGCAGGCGAAACCCAAATGGCAACAGCCAATCAGCCAAGTGGGGGAAATCCCTGCCGTGCCCCTGTCCCAATGACAGAACACACACCACGGCATAGCAAGGTCAATCACAAAATGCCCTATAAGTAGGGAGAGGTGGGCGGGTGTTCCGAATGCACGAGCCGAAAGAGGAAGCTCTGGGTCACGTGCATGGGTATATATAGGTCCCTCGATCTGTTTGGACTGCGCCCCATTGGCCAGATTGAACCCAACATCGAGGGACCTACCAATCGGGTGTTGTGGCTGTCGAATCTTACCCACCCACAACACAGGAGGTTGGTCTCCAGGTCTCACGGCAACATGTGCCCTCTTTAAGGGAAGACACGATTTAGCATGTCAGTGGCTGGGGCCTAGTGAGCAGCATGTGGAGCCAACTGAAGTAAAATCCTAACTGTCTGCTGTATAACTTCCTCTTCCCTGATATCTCATTATAATGTCTGGCAGAATGTGACTGACCTTTAACAATAGGGCCATGACTGTGACCTCATAATGTAGGTGTCTGTCAAATATAATTTCAGGATTTGTTATTTTTTCATCAGGTACATTCTACTCTCAGTGCGCCCCCTCTTGCTTTCTGGTGAAAATATATCCAGAGATTTAAAAGCAGTTAGGTTTAAAGCTTAATGGATATTATAAGGTAAATTGAAAAGAATATTCTATCCAAGATTTGAGGACATTGACTTATTAATAAGACTTTGTAATGAGACAGCTTTGCACTACTTTCTGATTCTACCGGCTGTCTGACTTGGGCGCCTGACATACATTTTGCTAAATCCAGTATTAAAGCTTCAAAACTGTGTTCTTCCATTTCCAAATGAAAGGTGTTAAATGGAGGTTATTTTTCAATTAAGCCATTTCTCTTTCAGAGAAATGTATGACTGGGAGACAGACCAGTAAAATCTCTCTCTCTTTCTCTCTTTTTAAGGGACATCCTTACAATGGCCAGAGCCTGTAGAAAGCAGAATCGAACTCCCTTCTTGTCAGCTGATGAGCAATCTAAATTCAGTCTTGATTTTTGCAGAGATTGGCTGCACCAGTGATCTCCCCAAGGGAAACTCACTTGTGTAGCTGAACCAACCATGACTGAACTCCCCACCCATCAGTTGATATATGGGGAGTTCAAACCTGCTTTCTCTGGGGATTGGCTGTATAAGCAGCCACCCACCTTCATCTCTGCTTACCCACAGACACCTAATGATGTCAGGTGTGCAGCAGATGGGCATTATCTGGGCAAAGGCAGATTTGGGGCAGCATGTCTGGTTCTACCACACTGGGTGCTGCTGCAGGGAACTGCAACTATAACAATAGTGAATTGAGCGGAACAGAAGGCAAGAGGTGGGGATTTTCGCCTCACACAGTGCACTGCTGAAATTTGAAAAACCAAAGTCTGTGTCTAATTTGGGGGAAATGGCCTTGTAGGCAAAATGGAGAGGCAGAACAGGTTAAATGTGCCCCACAGGCAGAGGCTCCCCACCCCTATCCTACGAGGTGGTGTCAACTGAGATTATAATCTTTTGTATTGCTAGTGAATGGCCAGCTGGCATTTCCACAAATCACTGAAGATGCATGTCCAATGGATTTTGATGACTAGAAGTAGTAATGGGGTTGATTTTTGAATGGGGGGGGGGGAAGGGTGTGGAAATGAATGTTTCTGATTTGGAATCCTCAAACCCTTGGCCTTAGTTTTCACCTCTTCCCTTGCCACTCAGATATACTCGGCACCAGCAGTGATGGGACAGTTGGAAAGGGCCTTCCATTGTGCTAAATGCTACTGCAGAAGCATCTTAGGGACCATGACCCCTGGGAATATTTGATGTTAGTCATACTCAGGAAAGACCCACTGAAAGTAATTTACATGACTAACTTTGGTCCATTCATGTCAGTTGGTCTATTCCGAGTACAACCTTGTCAAGTACAACCAATTGTTTGTTTGTTTTGATAGGTGGTATTTGGTGTCTGTCTGTGTGTGTGTGTGTATGTGTGTTGGCTGCTGATTAATCATTGATATCTGAAATAAGGCAAGTCATAATGCCAGTATTATTATTTTGACATTAGATGAGTGTACATATTTTATTCCAATATGCAGGAGGGATGTCTATGCCTTATACCAGTTCAGACCGCTGGCCTTTCTGTCTCAGCATTCTCCACACTGACTTGGCAGTGGCTTTCCAGAGTTTCCAGATAGGAGCTTTTTCCAGCCCTACATGGGGATTGACAACTGTGCTTCCTTAAGAACCTTTCCCCAACAGATGCCAAAAAATCTAAAGTACTTGCATGCTAAAATAAGTTTTCACATTCAACATGTAAATCTGATTTTTTAAAAATAAAATAAAATATTGTGTCCAAAATTTCGGTTGTGAATTGGGAAATTTCAGTAAATTTAAAATATTTTGAATATTTCTTCCAGTTCTGGTTTCATTTGTGTCTAAATAGCCTAACTCTGTTAGGCTCATTGTAAGTCATTGTGAGATAGCTTTAGTCCAGTAATAGGAATTCTGAAACCTGAAGCCTTGCTTTAGCTTGGGAAATTCATGTTACTTGGTTAAACTTTGCTCATAAAGCATTTGCCGGAGGATGATTAAATGGCCAGATTGTTTTCATTCTTTCTTCAGGGATGTCTTGCTCTCAGTCATTTTGTCATAAAAATTAAGAGCCAAATCAATTAAAAGATAATTAGGGGGTGTTATTTTCCCCTTTCTTGTCATAAGCACACAACTTGCCCTTTTTGTAGGTCTTCTGATTTTACGGTTGTGGAATTGAACATTTGAGCTGAGGGATAGTTCCACTCATTAACATGACAGCTAATGAACAGGTCTTTGCCAGCGTATTCCTTTATCTGGATCCCAACAGTTGTTCTCTGTCTGGGATGAGAAGCATGAACATCAACAGTCCATCAAACCATGTTTAGAAGGGTGAAGGGGGAGAAGGATGTTTTATTTAAAAACACACACACACAAAACACTATACTATGCAGGGGTGAGTATTTCGAGCAAATCTGTTTCTTCTAAACCCCCCCTCCCTTTTACAATAATCGGTAGCTTTCTTTCCAAAGGTCATTCTTTGAACTGTTACTAGGAATTTGATTTTGGGGATACAGTCCTTGAAAGTAGGTTATTAATATATGAATAAGTGCATTTGGTTATTATCATTTTTCTTGAAGTGCTTTTAGATTATAATGGCAAAAACAAAGGGCATGATCCACCTTATTTTTAGGTCATTATTGATCTTGTTAATCTCACATAAAGGAGACTTACAACTGCTTTAACTTTGGGTGGGTTACACTCATACCCATAGATATGGGGCTGAGTCAATTGTTTAAGACCACCTACAAATGTCCAGCTGATATGTTTAAATCCAGAGTGTAGCTCTTAATGCGGTTTGGTTAGGAGAGAATATCTGAAGATGCCGTCTACTAAGTCAGAATATTTGCACATGTCCTTTGGATGTTTGTGCATGTACAAGCATTTGTTCATATAGCCTCTGACTCACCAAGGTCTCGGACAAAATGTCTTTCCCAGGTAGTTGTGGTCTACTATCTGTTGATACCAGGGACATGCCCAGGGACTTTCTGCATACAGAAGCACTCACCCTCCTGCTTAAATGTGATGCAATGCAAGGAGGTCAAATTGATAAACAGGGCATTAGAGTTTGTGTCAGTGATGATGATATCAATGAGTTACGTTGCGCTATTTTTGAGAAAAGTGGCAGATGTGTGCATCACTCTCACAACATTCTGATCATGCCTCTGACTGCTGGTGGATTTTGTAAAAAATATTATTATTGCTTCTCTTGCTTGCCTTTTAAATCCTAGTGCAAGACATAAAAATATTCTAATCTTTCTTTGAATGCTGGGATCCGACAGAGTTTGGGGATTTGCAGTGTGACGAGTTATGAGAAAGTTAATTTGAAATGTGATGACAAATAGCAGCAATAACATCCCACAAAATTTCCCCATTTGCTTCAAACGGTGAAAATAGTTGGAAAGATCTCCAGGTGCCTCGAAGAAGTCAACGTATATTAGTGAAAATACAAATAGCAGTGCATTTTTAAGAGGAAATATATTAGAGCTTTCAGCGTTAATCCTTTAAAGTCCTTGTTGTTTCTCTTGGTATTTGTTAGAGTAGAAGCAGGGGACCTTTGAACCGGTTGCATGAGACCTGCTTATCTAGGAGAGGTTCCTGTGCACCTGGGGCCATGTTTAGTTGACCAGACTATGATGGGCAGTGATTGAGACCCATATTACCAGCTCCTACTGGTACGGATGAATTTTCTGCGTGGTTGCTTGGACAAAACTGACTCCATGGCTCCATGTGCCAAAATACCTATACTTGCATATAGTGAGCAAAAAAATGCATATATCTGTGAGATTTTCATATACAAATGCATTATGTAAGGCAGAATCACTTAGGGTGCAAGTAGATAAATAGGTACCGCTTTATAGCGGGAAGGAAAACGGTGTTTCCGTGTGCTGCGCTGGTGCTGGCTCGCCAGAGCAGCTTCGTCACGCTGGCCACGTGACCCAGAAGTGTCTCCGGACAGCGCTGGCCCCCGGCCTCTTAAGTGAGATGGGCGCACAACCCTAGAGTCGGACACGACTGGCCCGTACGGGCAGGGGTACCTTTACCTTTAAGGCAGAATCGCATTCAGAGCTGTGTTCTGTATTAGATTTCAAGCCAACTCGAAAGGCATGGGAACTACCATAGAGTAAGTAACTCATCTGTGTTCTAACCTACTAGTCTGCAATTCTAGTGGGTCATAGCTTGATCCAAGGTGGGTTGCTGCAGAAGCACTACCACCATGCAAATATACAATAAAAGATTAAGAAATGGCTCTCCCAATGTCTTAAGTGGGTCCTGGGGCTGAAATACTATTCCTGTAACCCACTTTGTGCCTGGTAAGTTTTGTTAGGTTGTGAATCTGCCACCTCCTGGCACACTTCCAGTGCTTCACCATATGTGATTTTGATGTACTACATTTTTTTTACCAAGCATGGAGGGTATTGATGGAAGGCAGTGTTAGCTGATCAATAGGAGCAGAATTCAGGTGGTTGTAAAAAAAATGCAGTGACGGTATAGGTGCATCCTAAAATCAATAAAGAAGAGTGGTTCTTCATAAACTAAAATGAAGAACCATTACCCACTCCAGCTAAATCACATTCTGTGTTGGATCGTTCGCAGCACTGGGAGCTGGTGAGCATAAAACCAAGATGGTGCAGAAATCAAGCAGTTGACATAGTAAGAGATGGAATATAGACCAAGGAGCAGATTTTACTGATTGGTAAATTAGAACAGCAGTTACATAAACTGCCAGGGCCACAAAAGCTGCTTGAAATCATATAAGTATGGGAAAGTGTTGAATGGTTTCAGTTTTGTCTCCCTTCTTGGAAACATGTTAGATACTTTGCTTTCCTAAGTGGCATGCTGTTCTGGCGATTTTTCAGATTCAAGAAGTAAGTCAAAATGCGTGAACTTGGAAAGGTATGATTGAATGTACTTTGGTGATTCTTTGGGGGAACCTTATGAGGGTCACATGTCAGTGGTTGGCAGAGTTAGAGGCAGCAATGGGTGACACACTAAATGTTTTACCTTTGTATAGTAGACTAGTTTCTACAGACTCTCTCTATCCCCCAACCAGACAAGCAAGAGGCATTATCAGAGCGCTAGGCTACATTCCAGTCAGGCAAAAGCACTCAGGGTGAGAGGCAGGGCCAGTGGTGTGTGTGTTTCCCCTGGGAGAGTAGAGGGAGAACTCCATGGTCCAGACAGACTGACCTGGAAGACTTTGTCCCCTGTGCTGAGGTTTCCCCAGTCCTGTTCTGCATATTAAGCATTAGGCTTAATGTCTTAAGGAAGAAAAGGAGATAGCAGTAAAAGGAAAATCACAATAACCCTTTAAAAATGTAGAGTTCTCAACATCATTTTAGGCATGATTTTAGTTTCTCACAGGATAAGATCCAGAGTCCCCAGGAGTGGAACTCTGATCATGGGCTACTCCTGCTTGAAAGAAGCCATTTGTGCTGGTTCTTCTTCCTGCCTGCAGACCCCCCCCCCCAAAGTTGCTCCATAGGCTTAAGACTTATGTTGGAGGTGGTATGGGAGGCTGCAGGGAGAACTCTCAGGACTTCCTCCAGCAGTATTGCTTTTCAGCCTTTTGGCTAAGATGAAGTGTAGGACTTTCTCCAGCAGAAGCTTCTGCTGGATCTCAGTTCCTTCTGCACATGAAAACAGCCCTTCATTTTGCAGAAAGAAAACTGTAAATAACCCAAAACAGTTGAAAGGAGTTCACTTCTGAAGACCACTCTGGGTTGAGGACTGAAATTGTCTGCTACTCTCCGAAAATGTTAACAATAAAAGATATACAATTTTCCTCCACTACACAGTTGTCTTCTGGGTTTTTCCCCTGGATGCTTATTGCAAATGTTTGATCCATTTTGTTGTCATCAACATGTTATCTCAACCAGCAGGACCTGTCTATTGCAGTACTTTTCATTTTCTTTTGATGTGGTTGTCCCCATTTGCCTCCTCTTGCACCTTTGCTGATGCTCATACATTTGTGGTAATGTTTGCAAAAGCAAAAAAGAGGCACTGCAGCTCCCAAGTGGGTCATCTGCCTAGGATTCAACTGCCCCCCTGCTGGTCTTCTCATAGAGCAGGCTTATTTTACAGTATGTGTAGAAGAACACTTCTCGGTATGGGATATTTCCACACACCCTTTACACATATCTATCCCACTAGGTTAATTCCAATGAAGTGCAGAATATGCCAATTTACATGGAGAAAATATCTGGAGTAGAGATATGATTAGCTAGCATTTATCCACATTCAACAGGCTAGAAGTAGGCCCATCCAGTTGTCAGGAACAGGTCAGCAATAAAACACCTGGCATCAGTGAAGTTAACTCATTATTCAAAGAAGTCAAAACAGCTCAGGCCTCGGGATCACTGTCCAGTAAGTCTTCTCTCAATGAGGCAGTTGCAAGGATTGAAGGTCCCTGCCTTCCTACTTCTCTCTAAGACTCCTCCCCCAACAACCTGTGGCTCCTTTTCCTTGTCTCTCTTTGCTCCACCCTTTTCATTCCTCTTTGTGTTTTGTGAGTCTGGGGGGTGGGTGGGTCTGGGGGGTGGGTGGAAGAGAGACTCCCTGGCTTCTTAAGCAGCCTGCTTCTCCTCTGCCTCTTGGCCTCCCTCTTCTCCAGCCTCTGCTTCTGCCTTGTGATTCTGGATTGCTCTCTGCCCCAGCCTTTCCCTACTCACTAAACCCTGTTGCTTCATTAGCTTCTGTTCCCTCTGACCACTCATCATTGTCCCACCACCAATCTCTTGGCTTCCTTGGGGGTTATCCAGCTGGTGCCTCCCACTTCTCCCCTACATCCAGCTAGTTCATTACACCACTAGACTAATTGAAACTCTTTTTTCCTTCCCTTGAAATTGCTCAGCTTTTTCTGACAGTGAGCATCTTCGAAATAAGTCTCAAATTTTTATGTTAGGCAAAATATAGCAAGGCTTGAAAGGGCTGGTTTGGGGAAAGGCTATTGTTCAGTGGCAGACCACATGCTTTGCTTCTGGAAGGTCCAAAGTTCAATCCCTGACATCTCCAGGTAAGACTGGAGAAAACTCCTGTCTGAAATCCTGGAGAGCTACTGCCAGTCATTTTAGACCAACCTTCTCTAGGCCTGTGACCAGCACTTGTTTTGGGCTGCAACTCCTATCATCTCCCATCCAGGGTGGTCAATTGATAATGGGTGTAGTTCAACATATCTTTAGGGCACTAAGTTGGGGAAGGGTGTTGTGGTTAATATGGAGCTAGATGGTCCAATGGCCTGACTTGACATGAGGAATATTTCCTATGTGCTTGGATGAACATTCTTGATAGTTTTACCAAATTGCACCAAAAATGTCTACTGCAGCTCCTTAGAAGTGACTGCTCCACTAAAACATACCCAGCTCTGCAGTGAGTGTGTGCCCTTCACTTGCCCAGTGCTTCCAAAATAAATAGCTGTTAATAAAAGCTAAGAAACAATAGAAGTAGAAAACTTACAAAGCATGCAGCTTTGGGGAACTCTGAACTTCAAGCACCGCAGATCAAAGGAGCTTTTGTGGCTTCCTTAGATTTAGTTTCAAGTGGCCGTATCTGAGTTCTTAAAAGAAGCAGAAATGAACACGTCAAAAGACATCCACTGTGCCGGTTTGCACTGAATCTAGGCTAATATTAGTTGGGTTTTTGAAGTATATGTAAATGCCAGATTGAAGTAGCAAACAAATTGGGAAAGGATAGAACAAACGTCTAATTATAGTGCCTAATAACTTAAAGGACAGAGTACAATGGACTCCTGTTACAGCTAGTTCTCACACATGAACTGGAGCTTTAAAATGGTAACGTTACTCTAGCTACTGAAAGGAGACAAACTGAAATGTGCTAATTGCGGTGCGAGTTATGACATACCTTTTAAAGAACTCCCTTGAAAGTTTGCATGGTCTGCATCTGGGGAACGAAGCATATTTAGGTTTCTCTCTGTCACTTCTTTTTTCTCTCAGCCTTTCATGCATGCATAGTTTAAGAGATTAGCATGAATAGATTTTCGAGTTGCGTGTATGAGAACCTGACATTGTGCATTGTGCTGTGTCTTTACAACAGAAGAGAAGCTTTGCTGGTTGAATTTTACCTTTCAGCAGATGAGTTTTCTTTCTAAAAGGAAGGTTTTTAATGTGTCTTCTCTTGGGGGAGAAACATAATTGCAGGGGCGGGACGGAGATTGCATCCTGGTGCTTCTTTATAATTTAATATGGGTCAGCTTGTGTGCAAGTGAGGGTTTTCCCTGGAGAACATGGTTGGTACTCTGATCTCAGCTTTGGACCTGTTTTATGTTACAAGGAGGAAGGTGGGCTCCCACTTCGCTGTGGCTCGATTTTACTCCTGTTCAAGAATTTATCAGAGTGATAATCATGCCATCATGAGGGTAGGATGACTGCTGAGAGTACTTTCTCTAATAATGTCACTAATACCTGGGGGAAGAGCAACATTGGTGTGAGAAGTAGCCTGGCCTACCTAATTACTTTCCTTAGAAATTCCATATAGGAAGCTGCCTTGCAAGTGAGATTTTTTTTGTCACTGAGCCTGTATTATTTCTGTGACACAAACTTTGGGAAGAGGCATAGTTCAGTGGAAGAGCATCTGTTTTGCATGCAGAATGTACCAGGTTAAATCCTCTAGGGAGAACCAGGAGAGCATCTGTTTGAAATGTTGCAGTGCCACTGCCATTCAGTGTAGACAATGCTGAGCTAGATGGACCAACAGTCTGATTCAGCATAAGGCAGTTTCCTGTGCTCCTAAGACTTACCAAAAGGTCCCCTGGGTCTGAGAGGGAGATATTTCACATGTTACCTGATCCTGGAGTTATAGCATGCTCTCTACCACTGAACTTTCACAGTGACTGCAAAAGTCCTCCATCCTTTGCTTAGTATGCCTAAAGATTTCTGACAGCTTTTGATATTTGTCTAAATCAGCCATCGGTGAAAATGCCTAGTCTGTTGCAAAGCTGCAGACATTACAGGGAACATTTTGCATCCTCCAAGCTGCCTTGCTGTTAATACGTTCTGTTACTAATATTTCATCTCCTCCCTTTTTCTGTTTTCTTTGCCCCAGGCTACATATCTAAACAAAATGGTGAGCCAAACTCTCAACACAAAGGACAGAAAGTCAGCACATACACCCACCGAGGACCATTTTAGATATTTGCCGGGCAACCAAGTAACCTCCCACGAAAGCAAAAGCTGCCAGCTGTCAAGTGTGTGCCTCAGCAGCCTCCTGAAAGAAAAAGAAATTGTGGAGGTTCTCAAGCACACAAGAGAGACTTATGAAGCCCTGACTTCAGAGGTCAGCCAGAACGGCTTAGAAGGAGAAGCGCAAAGTGGCTTGAAGCCGACAGCCAAGGCCGAGAATCTCCCTGCTTTTCCCGGGGCTCTGAAAGATCAATCTCCTGTCCCTCGGCAACATTCCACTTTCATAGGGAGGCTGGGACAGCCTCCGAGAGGACCAATCTCCTTACACATGTACAGCAGGAAAAACGTTTTTCTTCACCACAACCTTCACACATCTGAGCTTCAGACTTTGGGCCAGCAAGATGGGTAAACAGAGTTGGCAAGTATTTATTGAAGACAGAGTCCTACATTTGGCTTAAGGGGCCACGATGCTAATTTAAAACTGACTTTTTAATTTCTCATCAGCTGCTACCTACATACTGTTTTGAAATTAAATATTGTTGTCTATGAAATCTAGGCGATCCCTGTAAAGTAAGGACTGGGAGTGGGGAGGGGGGAGGCTGGGTGGGGGCGGGGGAGGCTAGCATGACTTAAATGAGTAGTTGAATGTCTTGCGGAATTCACCCGAGTGTGAAATCCTGGATTTAAGGAAGTTGGTGACAAAAGCTCTACTGGCTTCATAGTGAATGGATGGAACATCCAAAAGACGCCCAACGTTTGTGTGTGTGTGTTTCCCTACCGTCAATCACTTGCATACCTAAGATTTCTGAACGCTATGTCAAATATAACATTCTGTTCTTTTAATAATGTTACTGTGAAAGTAGATGTGAGGAATGAATAGAGAATTTAGTAAAAGGGAAGAAAAAGAAACTCCCCCAATGGTACAAATTCAATCGAGGAGGTTTGGTTGTATTTTGGTTTCATTTTGTACAGTGAAGCTTTTCTTACTCATCATCAGACACAGCCTGGTTGCCCTTTCCATCTTGGGCAAGAAGCATAACAGTTTATTGGGATACTTGAATGAGGTGATGAGCCTCCTCCCCACACTTAGAAACCTTTTGAAAAAACCTAATGCAGCTGGCAGAAAGTGTGACAGAATGTCCCGATCCTTTGCACAGCTTATTCCCTTACATGAGATGCAGCAGTGGCTGCCTACTAGAATGGTTTTAAAAGAGGATTAGACAAAGTAAAGCAAGGTTGTCAATGGCTGCTAGTCATGTTGGCTATGGTCTCTTTCCACTGTTGGAAAGAGAGTTGCTGGGAATCACAAGAAGGGAGAGTCCTATAGCACTCAGGTCTTGCTTGTGGAAATTACTTTACCAGGGTGATGAGTGGATTTCCCACACCAGACAATGTGTGTCCAAGTGGAAGCTGACCACTTTGTCATGGACAATACCGTATGCCATGATGGTGAGTAATATACAATGTCTTACTCAAAGCAGTCCCATTGAAATCAATGGACAAGTACATAAATTTCAGTGGGAAAATTCTGAGTATGGCTTAGTTGGATATCACTCATTATTCAGGGATTGATATAATATCTGTAGTGGGATACTACTTCAGTATTTGAGGCCAAGTTCTAGAGTTAGTTTGCCAGGCTTTTTCAGTATCTCTTTAGTTACACTTGTTTTGCTAAATCAGTATGTCAGTAAATAGAAACGGGGGTATTGGATGCCATCAAATTTAAGAAAACAGTGGATTTCGAAAGCTGCATTTGCCATTGATAAACCAAAATGCTGTAAGAGAAGAGTGCTTTGCAAGGGGCCACATAATTGTCTTTTTAGCATCATATCATCATAATGGCATGCATCTTTGTTTTTAACAAAAAAAATCTTCGTTTTTAAAAGAACCAGAAATGATTCCACAATAGCATACAAGGTCTTTGTCAATGTCTTTATCAGGCTACTTAGTTAAGGTGGCCAAAGGTGGCAATAAGGAATGTTAAGCTTTGTTGAAAACATTGCATTAGATTCTCACCCCAACTGTTCTGTATTCTGTGTTGAGAAGCAGGTGTGCATATTCAGATCCCCTTGCGTATTTTGAATTGTGAGCAAAAAAGCATTATGTGGAATTTAAACACACACACACACACACACACACACATCTAGAACCCTGTTTTCCAGCTGACATGACCTGTGCTGCATTGGATCGTTCTTTGTACCTTTTAACCATGGGTCAGAATATTCAGTTTTGTCAACTCCAGTCACCAACTGAGAATGGAAATGGGATCCAGTTCATCCTTTCACCAACACCAACACCACTCCTGGCTAGGTGATTGGTGCTAATAAACCTGCTCCCGTTGAGTATGTTTCTTGTATATTTCATGTGGAGCTCCTTATACACCACAGTTCTACTCATGTGTTTGGATGAATGGGGGGGGGAGCTTAAAGGGGGTAGGAAAACGCACACACATCTGCTCCCTCCATGGCTCTGCACATGCTGGCTCATCTTCTGAACTTCGCATATTGTGCATGAAGAGGCGAAGGGAGATTCTAACAGTGTTTAGCTAACTGTGCTTGGAGGTTTCCTTGTCACCGGGGACTCTTCATTATTCAGTATGCCAAGTATCAGAACACAGGAAGATGTGCAGTAGAGTCAGCAAGAGTTGGGCCACTGGGAGCGGACTTTGTACTCATGCCTGCTTCCCACTTTAAGTGTTCATGCATTCACTCCAAATACATAAACAGAGCATCATGTGCTATCCTCAGTCTGGGGATGTAGAAATTGGGATCAATGAGCTTTGATATACCAACACAACTTAAGAGCTCAAATTGGAAATGTTTGCTGGAATCAAGAATCATACGAACAGATTGGCAAGATGTTTCTAATTCTAAAAAGCAAATTTTATGAAATGAAACAATATGAATAATGCTGAAATTAATGTTCCAAGGCTGCAAGGCTGTGCCTTGGAATGAGTCCCATACAAAAAAAAAGTGACGCTTAGACTAAGTCTGTGAGTCTGTGTAGGATCGGTGTGAGAATATTGAAAATACTTGATGACAATTCAAGTTACATACTGTTTTATCAACTTGATGGGAAACATTCATTGTAGAAAATCTGGCAATTGCTGTGCAGCAGAATAATTTAAATAAGTATTGATAAACTTCTTACATAATGTATTTCTCTTGGTCACATTCTGGCTACGATTGTTAAATACAACTCTATTGTATTTACAAAGATGCAAGTCCCATTTTATTGAATGGAGGTTATTCCCCTAGTAAGTGTATGTGGGACTGCTGCTTTTGGACCGCCAACTTACTAGGGAATGAATGCCACTGCACTTCTTGAGAATAATTTCTGAGTTATATACATTAAAATGGCGCTGTGAGAATATGAACTCCCTTTGGGTTCTCAGAGATGAGGTGAAAGAGAATGGTTCAAATATTGCAAAAAAAATCATTCCTTCTCGATCAGATGGTGTGTTACTGTGTGGCTACCACATGTTCACTTGAGAGTATTTTTGGAGTCAGAGTGGCGTAGTGTTTAGAGTGTTGAACCTGGACCAAGAAGAAGAATTTGGATTTGATATCCCACCTTATCACTACCCGAAAGAGTCTCAAAGCGGCTAACATTCTCCTTTCCCTTCCTCCCCCACAACACACACTCTGTGAGGTGAGTGGGGCTGAGAGACTTCAAAGAAATGTGACTAGCCCAAGGTCACCCAACAGCTGCATGTGGAGGAGCGGAGACTCGAACCCGGTTCCCCAGATTACGAGGCTACCACTCTTAACCACTACACCACACTGGCTGTGTGGTGCCAGAATTAGGACCTCTACTTATATGAGGCTCACTTACTAGCCTTGGGCCAGTCATGCATTCTCAACCAATGCAACCTTTGCAGGGTTGCTGTGGGATAAATTGTGGCATTCGTTATAAACAAATAACACATTCTACAAAATAGAGGACTGCAAAAATGCAAATGCAGTTTAAGCAGACAAAGTGATTATGATTTAGATTCACCCATCTAGATCAGAAAGTGTGGCCTGGTCCATACCTGTCATCATGACGCCACTCTGCTCCACAAGGCAGCATAAAAATCAGTGAAGTGTATAGCATGATTTCAGTGTTCAGTTTCATGTTTTCCTCTTCTGTTAATGAAACAAGTAGACTGAAAAATATATTGGCCTACTGTTCATTACGGATTTCAGTCTCAGTTGTTGTAAGAGTTGCCCTATTTCAATTCTGCCCATTTTTTTAATTATCATTCCATAATCAAAGCAATTCTTTCCAGGATTCAAATGCACTATTCTACAAAAATAAAAAATAAAGCTGCATCTTCCATTTTATACATATATAATGCTTGTTTATTTCTCGGCTAGGCACTGTTTGGATTACGTTTTGTAAGCGGGGGGGGGGGGGGAATAGCTGTCTAAAGCTATGAAAAGGAAATTTCAAAATGCTGCTATTTTCTTGACGGAATTTTTTTTTAAGCTAAAAATTATTGGTGAACAATTAAAGCAAGGGATAGCTGCTAGGCTTTTATCCACTTGTAGCTGTTTTGTATCAATATTTTTAGCATTGTTATAGGACTTCTTGTAATACAAACAGGCTGTTTTCCCTCCCACAAGGGTGGCAGCTATGTACAGTGTAACGGTACCTAAAAAGCAAAGGTGCTTTTGCAACATCCTCTTGTGTATATTGTAACTCATAAGACAACCTTGTGGAGGCATTCTTTCAATGAATGGATTCCTTTGTACTGAAATCTCTAGTTTTCTAAGACAGTTCTCTGTATAAAAATGATTTATACATCTTTCCAAGGCTGTACATATCCAACCTTCTGACATCACGCAAGGGAAAAGGACTTCTTATTTTTTGGCAGAAATGTCTCTCTCTCTTTTTTTCTTTTTTTGGAATATGTCTATAAAACAAAAGCTTAAGTCTTGTAAAACCTCTAAGGCAAATTGCTTCTTCCAGAGCTGCTATCAACGAGTGTGACTTCCAGATCACAATGGCAATGTAATTGATATTTTAAGGAGAAGGGAATCCTTCAGGGAGAGAGAAATGGGTTTCATTTCAGTCAAACACCCTGCATTTTCCCCCTTTCTAAAAGCAAGAAAAGGTCCGGTGCAGATTCTAAACAATCTTTATAAATTAGAAGCGTATCACCACCACCACCACAATAATAATAATAATAATAATAATAATAATAATAATAATAATAATAGGAGTTATTCAGTAAACTCTATGGTGCTACCAGTAACGTATGCTATGTTATAATGGCTTCTAGGGCAGCATACATCCTTACTAGAAAAGTAAGAGTTTATCCTGACCATGTATGACTGAGAAGACCTTAGTCATGACCTACTTACATCCCACTGAGTGACTTCTGCTAGAGCCTGCCCACTGAAGTATATGTGTAAGCAGAGAGTCAAAAATAGTTCATTCATATTTAGCTTGCCAAGCAGTGCACTGGCGTACAGGTGAATTTATTCTAGCTACTACAACTAGGATATGCATAGCAATGGATAGATCA